TACCAGGTTGGGCTTCCAGAACGGATTGACCTCGCGAAGCTCAAGGTATTGAGGGTTTCGAACGCTCCAGTACAGCGTTTCAGCCACGAGTGGACAGCCAAGGAGAGATGGAATCCTCATAGAAAGGTTTCCAAGGAACATGAACCAGATTAGAACGTTGTTTCTAGAGCAGGCAAATGAGACTTTTGGCAATTCTTTTCCGTGTCTTGTGACCGACTGCTTCTGGCTGGGGGCTTGAGAGGCTTCGCATGGTGACCCGTTGAGAAGGCGACCAAGACACATCTTGACAGCAAGTCCGCTTACTATGGAGAAGGCAAGGGCTAGAAGTTTGCTGGTGTTGGTGATAGCGAGGGTGGCAATAATGGGCTCAGCAAAACGGATACATGTGTGAAAGAGAAGTTGCTCACTGCAGATTGTGCTTACGAAGTAAATGGATAGGTCAAACACTAAACCTAAGAGAAGGTTCAACGAACGAACCAGGAAGTTCAAGCCAGAGTAAGTAAGGAAGCTTTTCCAAGTTTTTTGAAGAAGCGTATGATGCTGCTGACGAGTATCCTGACTTGTGAGCAGAAAGTACAGCCAGATACTATTTGATGTTGCAAGAATGCTAGCTGCCAGAACCCCGAAGGCTGTGCCCGTCGAGAGCTGAATGTAAACCCTTTTAAGCACCCAGGCTGCTGTTGTGGTCATGTGTGCTAAGAGATCCCCTGCCACCTTTGAGCTCAGGGCAGGCGAAAGGACCCAATCAAAAGCCGCAACACCTGTAGCCACCATGTTTACCACCTTGCAGACTAGCAAAACAGCACCTTGTGCTAGGAAAGAAAGCTGACGCCGGTTGGCATTTCTAGCCACTCTGTCCATTCTAGCGACGAAAGTGCTGCGTGGCCATTTGATGTACTGCCCTGTCAAGCACCACAGCCTGATTGTGCTCGTATTGGACACCACTGCACTAAGCAGCCCATCCATTGCTGGATCCACCGTCAGCCCAGCAACTGAGGGACGAGGGCCCAATCCTACTGGATGACACGGGGGTCTGATGAATCTCTCCCGAAGCGACCCGATCTGTTCAACATGGTGAGCCTGAGCAAAGAAGGTCAACATGCTACTGAGAATGAGAAGGCTGCCAACAAGGAAGAGCACAAGCTGCACCCCTCCAAGGCTCAGTGCCAGCTTGCTCTTGAGCTTCTGGCTTCCCCATGTTGCACCCATTCTGTCCCCTATCGAAAGCCCTGCCAACTTTGATCCAGATACCGAGCTCAAAAGCGTCTGGGCAGCAAGCAGAGATGGCAGCGGCCAACACGTTTGAATGGCAGTGTCAGACTACTACTGCTTTCGGAAGTCTGGAGTCTTGACTCATTAATGATCGAGTCATGTTCACTGTTCACACTGTGTGAACAGCTACCTAGGCTCATTTGCCCGCGGAGACTCGGGGAGGCCTTACCTGAGTGATTCAGTGCACTTTCAGACTGATTGTCCGCCTGATGTGGGTAATTCGGACTTATCCCAGCTAGCGGACAGCAGTCATAAGTTTGCCCCGCGGACCCCCGGGTCCGCGGGGCAAATCTCTTGTCCTCTGAGTAGGGGATAAGATTTAGTTATCACTGTTGTAAACTTGAAAGCACGTTGTTTAACAGCTATTAGTAATTTTGAAAGAGTCACGTACGTGTGCTACCTAGCTTTGTCTCTTATAGCTTCAATCCACGTGAAGCTAAGATGACGCAGGAGGCTCGAGTTCTTACTGTAATTACTTTCCTTCTAATCGTCGAGTCAAGAGGTGGTAGCCGCATTTTGATGGCCTTCAATGGGGGCACGCCGTTTTTTTTGTTGTTCTTACACGGGGGTTGTGACTAGCCAGAGCACATAAGAACAAGGGCGCAGCGGCAACCGTTACACAAACATGTTCTATTGGGTGCATGCATGAGAATCTAATCGAGGCCGGTTTTGACCAGAAACGCTCTAACTGTTTTGACAATAGACGTTCACCACATGTCAGTTCACCTACTTAGATATTCATCGATAGTCACGTCCAGATTGGAGGCGAACTCAGTTTCCAGTAGTGCACCACCCGAAGTTCAAGTCGTTCTGATTCGTTTAGTTGGATCCATTCTGGACAGGGTGTTCTCTCTGCTTTTCCTTTCTGTGTTCCGCTTCCCTCCAGATCGCTTGCACGTCGTCCGTTCGAAACCTTTGCGTGCATGTGCTATCTTCAAGTGGTGTAACCAAGTTTTGCGAGAATGCGAGCAAGCCCGTGTACGCAATCATTGCGCCATTGTCTATGCAGTACCGCTCATCTGTAGCGTACAATCGACCCCCCCGTTCTGACGCCATTATCCTCATCATCTCCTGTAATCGTTCGTTGCAGCCCACCCCCCCCACAATAAGGACGTCTTGCTTGTTGCAATGGGCCATGGCCCGCTCCGTTGTTTCAACTAGCATGGCAAAGATGGTTTCCTGCAAGAAAAAAGCACGTTGTAATATGCTGACAACACCACTTGTGAAATACTCACACGGCAACCTGTCGCAGCAGCATGTACAGGCGCTCGAGACAGGCCTTCAAAGAGAATAAGCTTAGGCCCACAAACGAACCACCACAAAGCGAGTCAAAACTGATGATTAGGTAGGGAGCGCCAACTACAGAACACCAAACTTCCTTCGATCTTGAGCTGAGACGAGGCTCTGTTCACATACCGCCCATGGAAGTGCCTTCAACATAGAGGAGATTAAGGAACCAAGCTTGCAACAGCCTATGCAGGAGGATTTATGAGCAGGGACAAGACAACTTTGTCACAAACCTGCAGCGAGAAGCAGAGGTCCTCCTTTGTGACCTCCCCCGTCTTCAGCTTTGAGTTGGCGACGTCCTCGATGAAGCTGAGGATGCCGCTGAATGACACGTCCATGCCCTTCACCACGTATGGCAGCTCTACCAGCTGATTGCCCTTCTTGGCCAGCTACAGGGAACAAACACCGATTTTCAATACGTGTGGCCGAAACTGAGCCTTTTGGAGTTGTTTTTTGACATCTCAATGTGAACATGACATTGAACCTGCTTCCAAAGGAGCGTAGATGGGGCCTCTCCAACTCTAATTTTTGCGGGGGCCAATCTACATCCATCTCCGACCCCTCGTGATTGGGAAGGGCCACTCGACGGAGTGGTAACTTGAAAGCTGTGATTCCAGGTTTAGTAACAGCTTTGTGTGGATACTGATTTGGTCCAAAACCAAATGCAGGCAGTAAGTGAAAGCATGTAATGTATCAGCCCCCCCACAATGGTGCCTTTCTCCACAAGCAGAATCAGAGCAGCAATTTCCTTTATCACACGTTTCCAAAAAAGTGATCGCAATCTGAATCGTGCTCGATGGAAGGGTGGTGGGGGCAGATCAGACAATCCATGTTGAGTCATTTCTTTCAAACGCCAAGTCATTTGACATCGTCCATCACTGGAAGGAGATACAATGCGAACCATGTGCTATTCTGTTCCACAGAGAGCGTTAATATGGAAATGGGCAGGACTTTCCAAAGTTACATGATTAGAGACTTCTGAGAAAGAACTTGAACCACGGCTCTTTCACTCACCTGCTCAATGTTGTACCCGGGGCTTGGATCGTTTGACACCTTTATCACGCGCGCAAAGCGGTCCAGGCAGTTCCCCACAGCGATGTCGATTGTCTCCCCAAAAATCCTGTACTTGCCCTCTGAATATGCAATCACCTGCGTGTTACCCCCGCTCACATACAGCACCACAGGATCCTCAGCACCAGTGACCACTCTCCCCATCTCAATGTGGGCCACACAGTGGTTCACGGCGACAATCGGCTTACCCCAAAGCTGCGACAGAACCCTCACGACAATTGCGACGGTTTGCAGGGGAGCCCCCATGCCTGGCCCTTTTGTGTACGCCAGACATGCCAACTGCTCTGGGGTAACATTGGCTTGTTCCAAGGCTTCTCTCACAATTTCGAGAATGTGCTTCTGGTGGTGGGCCGCCGTTTCTTTTGGCAGGAAGCCCTGCCCGATGGGCGTGATGTAAGTGCGCCTCGGGTTGGACAAGATGTGGCCATCCAGCCGCACGACGCCAATGCCAATCTTGTTGGCGCTGCCTTCGAAGCCAAGGGCCAGCATATTTCGGCTGGGAGTCACAAGATGGTGAGGTGCTCGCAGCGCCCCGTGACCAGCAAAGGTCGGTTGCTTTTTGCACCCAGACCCAAAGCTTCTCCTCCGCCTTGCCCTCACAGAGTCACAGCTCTCCTTCTCTGACTCGGAGCTGTGGTTTACTGCCTGCGCCAGCAACTTCTTGAACTTGCAAGTTGCACTGCGCTGGACTGAGCGCCCTGGCCCTGGCCCTGGGCCTGGGCTTTGTGCAGAGAGCTCTGATCAAGGCGATCAGCGTTGCGTGATTACCTCAGCTTCGGTCGCTGCAATTGACCAACCGGCCACTTTGCAGACTCCCATGCGAAACTGCTGCGTAGCGTGACAATGTCACCCGGCTGCAAGTCGTAGGCGACATCTCATGACGAAGCAGAAGCACGTCTCCGGCCTGGCTCCAGCAGCTCGTGGCCAAACTCAAATTATCCATGGGCGGCACATCCGTGTCCTGGGAAAGGCCCGCTTGTTTCTCTCGTTGCAGCGCCCTTCGTTCTAGGCCGTATCGGTTGAATAAGCCACAGCATTGTACTGCTCGCTTGACAGCACGCTGTCCACAGAGGTGCGCTGGCGGTGGGACTTTGGCAAGGGCTTCTGTCAGTAAAGCTGGTCGGATAGCAGATTCCAATTGGCGCCACCATTCAGACTTAGCCTGGGTGTCTGGGGCCGTTAGCTGGCACTCTTCTCAATCGGGTGGCCTGCTTTTGAGCCCCTCTTTTCTGGTGGGCGGCTCCGGTGACCTTATCATGGGCCGGCCTGCCAAGCAGCCCAAAGAAAAGCGCCGTCCAACTGGTGGCACCATGGCGATATTTGGACACGCCTTCAAGTCTGCAGGGTCTGATGTGGCGTCGACGAGGGGGTTTGGCCCCAAGATGAGCAAAGCGGCCAAGTACTCCTACCTGATTGGAAAAGAGATTGTGGGCCTGGTGCAAGTCATCCCATACGGATTACATGCGGCTCTAACCCACGGTTTTCTCCCCTTGGGCAAGGGATTACAGCAGGACTTGGTGGGGGGGTTAGGCCAGCTCGGACAAGGGGTTGGGTTATCTGATACGGACGAGCTCAAGGCTAGCAACGACGTCGGAATGAGGTCGGCAGAGGAAGAAGAGACCCTTAGAGGGGACAGCAGTGATGAGATTGGCAGCGCGGTTGATCTGAATCCCAGGAACAGTGCACTGCAGGAAAGAAGGGGGGATGAAGCTTCTGTGGGGCTACATTCAAGTGTTAAAGTAAGAGGGGCCAAGGGCAGGGCAGCTGGCTGGTTCCCCTGGAAGTCTGCATACTCAGCAAACGTGGTCAAGGACTTGCCCTATGGTGACAAGGAAAGAGAGAAGTAAGCAGGCAAAGTCAGATCAGCCACGCATTGTAACCCACCCCTAAACCCTGGTGGTCATATCGTCTCTAGTCTGCGACCACTGGGATCACACGGTTCCGGTCACGAATTGCCTCATGCCCACAGTCTCTGCCTCTATTGTTTGAACCTTTTTCCCCATGTATCCTAAACAGTAGTTCCTTATGATGTGCAGCGCATCGCTTGGGTGGTATGGTTTTCTACCAAGTGCAAATCTGCCTTTTTAAGCACATCAGACTCCCCTGAAGCGCCAGCTTTGTGCGGCTTCAGCTACAAGACTTCGATTCTTGGTTGCAGATTGGATATCTTCACGCCCTCAATCATGGACCAGAATAGGAGGTCAGCGAGCAATCAAAAGTGGCCGGTGGTCTTGTTTGTCCACGGTGGGGTCTGGAGCTCCGGGGAGAAGTGGCAGTACTCGCCCCTTGGAGCCAGGCTGGCCCATGAGGGGTGTGTCGCAGCTGTGATTTCATATAGCCTCTTCCCAGACGTGAGGCTTCTCTTAGTTATCCAAAGCTTCTTCTTCGAAGGTTTGAATTTAAATTTTGTAATTGTAGCTTCCTGTCTTCCCTGCGCCAGCTCAACAATGTGCTTTTTGTTGACTTCTGCAGAGTACGCGGTCTTTTCGTTTTGTCAACCCACTTTGTGGGCCCGAACTTTGTTGGATTCAATGCAAGCATGTTGATCGATTGCAAGCCTCCAACATCTTGTCGTATGCTTCCACCGGACGATGCTCGTGTTTTGGACCGATTCCGAAATTGCTAATGTGAGTACTACTTGTGCAGGTGCTTGCAACGGAACAGTCCGAGCAGGTGTCCAGTGCGCTTGATTGGGTCTTCCAGAACATCGGCCACTTTGGCGGCGATCCAAACAGGGTCACTTTGGCAGGGCACTCCTCAGGTGAGTGGCCTCTTTTAATTGGAATCAGTGCTGAAGCAAGGGTTTCGATTGTGATCCAACGGTCCAGAAACTTCAGATTCCGTCGGATAGCAAGTCGTGGCTGAGTGACCACGATGCCTGCTGAATACAGAGCCGACACAGAAATCCGAGCACAGGGCATCAAGTCACTTGTTCTCTCATCGCTCCGGATTGTTTTGGAAGCCTTTGGAATCAAGCCCGCATACAGCGCCAAATTGAGCAAATCTCTGGAGCAGTTCCTGACATGCGTCAAATTTCAGAGACTGTTTGTCAAAGCTTCTGCTTTGCCAAAGGACGACCATTCACTAGTTAGACCTCGACAACCGAGTTGCTTGGTTGCGAGACCCTAACACCCTTTCTTGCCGTCTCTACAGGCGCGCATATCTGCTCCTTGGCCCTCTACCATCGAGCAAAGCGGCTGCTAGCATCCCGTGCGAGCCCGCGTATGTCCACCGACGTCAGCGTGCGCCAGCCGCGCACCTTTGCCGGGCTGGCCGGGGTCTACGACATCGCCGAACACCTCAAGTTCGAGCAGTGGCGCGGAGTAGCTCTGCTTTCTTGCATGACGCCCGCAAACGGCGGGCCGGAGGGTTTCCCGGACGTTTCCACGGTGCGATTGTTCGAGTCTCTTGGGGCGGAAGTGGGGAAGAGTGAACGCAAGGAGGATGGCTTTGAGGGGGAACCCTTCTTGGGCGAGACGTCGGAAGCCAACCGAGTCGTTCTGGGGATGGCTGAAGGGGGGCAAACGGCGAGAAGTCGGCCTTGGAAAGAGTGGCCATTCAGCACGGTGGTGAATTCCGCTTTGCTCGCAGGGGGTCGGCTCGGAAGCAGTGGCGAGATAGCGGAACGGAAAGAAGACGAGAACGGTCCGGAATCGAACAGCCACAACACTGTGTCGGAGCGAGGGACGACCGACGTGGAGGGATTGAACCGGGGTGGCGAAGCGACTGTGCGTGTAGAAGACTTGCTGCCCCGTGTGTTGCTGCAGAGCAGCCCGGGGGACACCACCGTGCCCATTGACACCACCGTCGCTTTTGCCAGGTGTCTCGACGCCATCGGCTGCAGGGTGAAGAATCTGGTGTACGATAGTCTGGCCCATCCGGACTTCATCATCTGGCCACGGAGGTTTGACGGGGAGGAAGCTCTGGGGCCTCACATCCGGGACCTCTTGCGGGTGGTCAAAGGTATGTGATTCCGATTCGGCCATTGGAACGCAATTAGATGTACGACACCAAAAATCTCAGCATCGCGAGCGTCCTTGATAACAGAAGTCGCCAACGTACGGACTGGAGCATTCTCGGCTCTGTCGGGTAGGTGATAGCAACGACTCTTTCTGAGATCAGCCCTTAAGGCCTTGCCACCTACAAGGCCACTCCTACTTAACGTTGAACTTGGATTGTTGAAGCTTGAGCTATGACTTGCTTGCTTGAACCCCTAGTGTCATTACCCGTACGTCAAAATCGTCGGAGGATGTCAAGTTGCCTATGTATAGTCATGGTATGCTTCGATCCAGCCGCTCATGAGTGGAAAAAATCATATGAGTCTTTCCAGCGCAACCGGGCGGCCCCCATAGTGCAACTCACTCCACCACGGTCGATCACGACATTATGGTGCGCCGTTTGATTCACTGTTAAGCCGCGCGCGCGCTGGCGTATCCTGCAACCCCACGCGCTGGCATATCCTGCAACCCCACGCGTTGGCGTATCCTGCAACCCCACGTGGCCTGTGATCCACGTATATTACAATTGTGCATGTGTTACGCAGCAGGAGGCGTAATGTATTCTGGCGTTTAGTCGATGCTAGCTCAATTCTGCGACAATCAATCGTGGTACTTGCAACAGCAAAGTCACACATAGTAGGCGTTTTAGCTAAGCGTCGGATGTTGCCACGTACCGTCGCGAGTCCGTGCAGAAGTCATGTTCTGCTGCCCGTCGGCGCGCCTGAAGTCGTATACGACCGTCAACTTAGATCTCGTATATTCACCATCATTGATCGTGCATGTGCAACGTTGGAGTTCCCATGGATCGCCTTGCAATCCAACACAACGGTTACTGCTTGCACGCTTGTACTTGATCTGTCATCTTGGCAACAACCAGATCAAAGCTCGACGCGGAAATACCTGCAAGTTGTCTAGTTTCGGATAGCAATGTGAATGCAGGGTTAACAACGGCCTCGAACCACATGCGCTCGATGTACGTTACTTTGGCCAGCTCTTGTAAGTCAACAGAATAAATACGACCTAAACTACGTCATTCGTGTTTTACGAACCTCTCCCTCGGCCCTCGCATCCCGCGCATGGCCTTGAATTATCAGACTCTTCATCCTCGCCACCTTCCACCTTATTGACTGAGCGACAGCAGCATCGCGACTCCCCGCCTGATCCAATGATCGGGCGCCACGTCAGTGGGCATCTTCACCTCCATCACGAAGTTCGACGAGTGGCCGGTGGTCGCGAGCACGCCCCGCCTCTCTGTCGTTCTGTAAACCGGGCACGAGTAGTGCGGGAACTCCCTCCTCTTGCTCAGCTCTACCGGTTTCAGCCACATAACCGGGGCGGGCGAATACAGCACCTTGGGCAGCGACTCCGCCAGCTGCATTTTCTCGCTGTCCCACCGGGCGCCTTCTAAATACATCCCGGTCACATATGCCCCGTCCTCCGGTTTCGTATCGTACTCCCCGGGCGGCATGCACTCGAAGTCGAACCCGACGGTGTCGATCGGGATCTTGTACTTGCGCGCGTAGTTCTGGAGGACGCCCGTCAGGAACGCGTGCGTGAAGTAGAAGCCGCTGATCCAGAACTTGGCGGGCGGCCCGTTGTCCATCCACTTCTGCAGCATCCCGAGCCGCTCCAGCAGTTCGTCCACGTAGCTCGAGAGGGGTTTAAGCGAGGGATAGCTCTTGGCCGCCCACGCGGCCGGAATGCGCCCCACGTACATCGCGGCCGCGAGCTGCTCCATCTCGGCTGACATCACCACCAGCCCCTTGAGCCCCTTCTGCAGGCTGCGCAAGCTGCTCCGGATGACGTCAGTCAGGCGGTTGTAGCGCACCATCTCCTGGCACAGCACGCTGTTCATGCTCTCCTCGTAGCACACCGGAAAGCGGAATCCGGCCAGCTCCAGGTCGAACGCGGGCGGCAGCCGCGCGAGGATGTCGCCCGCGACCTCCAGCAGGGTTTCCTCCTTGCTGCGCCCGCCGGCCGCGGCCGCGCGGCTCTGCGTCAGCAGAATGCTCGCGAGCAGCTGGTCGGTTTCCTGCTGGTCTTTGGTGATGTCGCCGTTGGCGTGCAGGCCGAAGACCTCGGGGAGCGAGATGAGCGGGAACTGCTTGATGTGCTCCAGGTAACCGCCGTAGCTGCAGTCGGGGGGCGCGTAGTAGATGCCTGCGGGAAGGGACAGCCGGCCAATCAGAACGGCTCAAAGCAATAAGGATCAAGACGGAGGATACAAGGACGGCCTCGCAGCTCTCACACTGTCAGATTCGGGTCTGTTTCTCATCACATTGTCATCCGTCAATCCGAGGGGGCCCGTTTTCATCAAACTGACCGACAGACAATCTGGCTGATTGAAACAGAGTTTCTATCGTTCCTCGTTCCTCTGAAACAGATTTCCATAAGGCTATCGAGTCTTTCCTGGAAAATCAAGGAGGTTATTTACGAAACGAGCGACGTGATCTTCAAAAGCCCCCCTTACCCGAGGGCGAGAAGAGGTACTCGTTGTCCAGTATCCTGGGCGTGTAGATGTTGCGCAGGATGCTCATCAGCGTGCGCCGGTCGTGCGCGTCGGTCACGCGGCCGCCGTAGTTGCACTCGCCGGTGAGGTAGACGAGCGCGGGGAAAGGGACGGCGCCGGGGAACTCGTTGAGGAACATGGCCAGCTGCTGCATGCTGATCTTCAGGTCCGGGTCGCTGAACTGGTATGGGATGTTCCACCCCAGCGGGCCGAACTTGAGCCGCTCCTGTGGCCGAGAAGAAGGGGGTGAGAAAACTCGAAAAGCGGCAATAAAAGATTTGGTTTGTGGGCTTAAAAGTTGGAGCCGGAGCATATTGCTGCCTTCGAAATCCGGGTCCTTACTGGTGCACTTGTTTCAATGATCCCTCCATGTGGAAAACCCACTTGCAAGGGTGGAGGAGTAGCATTACGTAAGCGTCCGGGCCAAGTGCAGAAAAGGTTCTCGTCAAAATAACGGGTGCTTAAACACCAGAATACTCTTTCTATCCGAAGGATAAAGGTCTCCTTGGTTGGTGACCCTCTTCCTTCAGGACTGGTGATCGGATCACCGCTGACGTCACGCTTACCTGGACGAAGGCGTGGAAGAAGCAGAGGCCGAAGAGGAGCTTCCGCCAGGCGGGTCCGCGCTCGCTCGCGTCGCACCCGCCGAAGAAGCTGGGGTCCGAAATTGGGTCAGACATGTAACTCTTCAGCATGTTTGCTCTTAACCCCTTGGGCGGCTCGTTGGTCATCTTAACCCCGCTCTGCAGTACCGTAACCGGGAAATGCTCGCTGGGGTAGCTGGTCAACCAAAGCCGGAACGACGGATGAACGGAATCCGGGCTAAGCCCCTCGCAGATCCGTTCCAATGTGGCCATCCAGGAGACTGCCAGGTGGCAATTCTGGAGCACAACCCACGCGCCGGACGCGGCCGCGTCGGCGATCATCGCGGCCGCCTTGGGGCCCTGCCCTTGCCCGAGGGAAATGCTCTGAACCGGTTGCTTCAGAGACTCGGCAAACTTGAGTAGAGCGGCCATAGGATCCGACCCGGGGGAAAGGACGAAGATGAGCGGTGTAACTGCGCTCGAGTCGGCGTACGAGCGCGCCAGATCGAACGGCGGCGGCTCCACGAACTTCTGGCCCATGGCCTTCATGACGTATAGCGTAATGGCCGCCACCAGCTTATCCGGCCGGAATATGCGCAGCACCAGCAGCCGCTGGAACGGCGACAGCGCGGCCGCCCACGCGCCAGGGAGGGCCTCGTTCTGAGGCTCGGTGCTGGTGTAAATTGGCTCCCAAGCGCCCGGGTTCTCCGCGAACGACTGAGCAAGGCCCGCGAAAGCAGGGAGCTCCCCCAGGCGGCCCATCTCCACCCACTGCTTCTCCGAGAGCCACGTGGCAGGGTTTGGGCCCAGTTTCTGTGTGACGCCCACTCCGCTGGTGATGAGGAAGCGGAATTCCGTCCGGTCGACTTGCCCCGCGCGCCCAAGAATGGTCACCGCTAATAGCAACCCAAATAGGAGCTTGTCTTTCTCAAAGAGACTCCGGCAGACGTTACAGTAAAGCGCGTACGTGAAGTAGTCGTTCAGGTTCTTGATCCGCTGACCCAGGTCGCTGCTCTTCTCGCTCTCCGCCACGCAGGTTAGGAAGAGGTTAATGAACCAGGTTAGGCTGTACTGGTACATGGGCTCGATGCTTGCCATGTCGGAAATCGTGAAGAACAGTGACGCCACGTGTTGGGCGACCGGTATGTACCCCCGGCGGGCCTCGTCGATCTTGACCTCCGTCTTCTCCGCGATTTTCTGTTTCTCAGCGATGTCCACCGACAGCGTTTTGCTGCTGCTGATGACGTCGATTGCGGTCTCGTCTTCCAGGATGTTGCCCTCGCTGCTGCTCAGCACTTCGATGATCTTGTCCTCAATCTCTTTCAGCTGCCGCTTGTTCTCCGCGGACTGCAACACCAGCTGCGTCTTCTCCTCTTCCAGGTCGGGTCGTTCTTTGGCGACCGCCATGCCGAGAACTTGGTCCTCCAAACCTTCCGGCGTGATCATGAAGTTGAGCAGGCATACCTTCACGCTGACCTGCGCGCGGCGGAACGTGCGGTTAGAAATTCGCCCGCCAAGCAGAGTGCATTTGAATACGCATGGTGAACGTGCTCAAGGAACATCTCTTCAGCCAGCGGCTTTGAAAGTCTCCTCTGCATTGGTCCTTTGATGACCTCATTTAAGTGAACGATGTGACTATCGCTGGTGCTATTTCCGAGCTGAAGCAAGAGTAGATGAATAACCACATAACTCCTCGGGCGACAGGGTTTGACAGCGCAGAAATTCTGGAATCTTCTGTTCGTTAAAGATTTTTTTTCTCAAACAAAGGAAAACGACAACCAGAAAGGCATAGCACGCTCTTACTTCGGGCAGGTAGTGCGGGTTGCGCAGCTTGGTGGTCATGTAGAAGCGGAAGTTGTGGGAGTACTCGATCGTCGAGTCGCCCAATCGGATGCAGTCCGCGCCGCCCGACTTGAATATAGCCTTCAGCAGCAGCGGTTCCAGCGTCGGGTCTAGCTCCTCGCCCACGTTCTCAAGAAGAACCGGGTACCCGAACTGGATGCAGTTCTCCAGCCGCCGCACGAAGTCGCCGTCGCTCAGCTTCATCACCTGCAGTAACAGAAGCTCCACGGGTTCAGCATTTAGGAGTTGCGAGCTTCTGAGGTGGTTACCTGCTTTCTCGTGTACATTGAAAGAGTGGGTATTTGAGGCGATTACATGTTTGCCCGCAAAACGGACCAGCCTAAGGCCAACTTCGTGAATAACCTCCTGAAAAGCTTCTCGGCGAATGCAAAAGCTTGTCCTCTATTTGAAGTTCTAGAGACGCACCGATGCTGCAACGTTACAGCTTTTTGCACTTCAGAATCACATTTGGCATCGTTCTGGGTTTACCAGATCTGCCAAAAGATCAGAACAACGAAAGAGATTGATAGCACATAATGCCCCCCCACCTCGAGGTTGTTCTTCTTCTCGGTCGCCTTGATCCACTTGTTGGCCTGCCCCTGCGGGTCGATCAGCAGCGGCCACCGCCGCGCGACGCTCATGATAATCCCGTTGTCGATACTAAACCCGTCGTTAGGCAGCCCGTTGATGATCCAGTCCCGTATCCTAACCGGGTCTCCCAGCGTGTTGACCAGCTTGAAGTGGTCGCTGCACGGAATGCTCTTAGACCGGCACGCCTTGGCCCATTCCTCCAGCATCTGATCGCGGTACGTGACCGTGAACGGCCCCAAATATGCCACGTAGCCGCTCGACAGCAGCACGTCCCCGGTGAGGTTTGTGTAGTCCTTCCGCAGCTCCTCGGCGACCGCGGTCCAACGGATCTTCTCCCCGCCCAGGCCGCCGATGAGCTTCTCCGCGCGCGACAGTTTCTGGACAAGGCGTGAGAACACGTGTTTGCAAAACAGGCGGTTCTTTCGTCCATTCAACGGCGAGCTAAGAGGGTCGTCATGCAACAGCTTCCTGCTCACGGGGCCAGCACTCTGAGTGGAAGACAACTGAACCGAATGCGAGAGAAATTAAAGCGCCGGTACTTGTGCAGAGGGCACACGAAGTTCTAGGAACCTTGTCAAGGTGCACATTCTTCCAAGAAGGTCGTGCCTTAGTCTAGCTTTTGTGGCACTCTGGGAAAACATCTTGAGCCGAAAGCTACCGATATCCTAGCAGATTATTCCCTCTGGACATCCGAACAAACCTTAAAGACTCAATTGAGTTCCATCTCAAGTTTCCGGGATCGCACGACTGAGCAAGGCATCTTTTCATTGTCCCTGGACCAGCTCCTCCGGCGCTCACCTTGGAGCAGAGGTCGACGTCCTTCTCTAGTTGCAGCTTCTTGGCCTCCATCTCCTGCAGCTGCGCGTTCAGCGCCGCCAACTTGTCCTCCACCTCTTTCAGCTGCGCCTTCTTCACCTTGAGCGCCGCCATCAGCGCCTCGAACTCGGCCGTGGATTGCGCCAGCTTCGCTTTCTTAGGGGCGACCACCTGGAGGGGAGAAGACGCGGGTCAGCGGCCGCATGACCAAGAGCGTGGTTTCTCCAGGCCACGAAGCAAAGAATCTTAAAAGGCTAGTCTCAAGTGGCCACTGCAGTTTGGTGCTTCTTCAAGAGTCCACACAAATCTCGCCTCGAGGGAAATTTGAACGATCGTTCAATCAACTCTTTCAAAGAGCTCAGCGAGCCCGACTGCATTAGACTTCAACCAAAATAGCAGACTCAGCAGACTCTGAGGGTCTCAAGGCAACTCGGTCCGGATGTTGGTCCCCATAGTGGATAAAGAATTGGTCGAATTGTTCATGAAAGTTGATTACCTTTGCGACCCGGTCGTATGACTCCATGGCTTTGATCCAGGCGGCGAGGCCGTAGGCTGCGTTGGACGCCTTTTTGATGGACACCAGGTCAAACTCGGGCATGGCAAGGTACGGCCGGATGCGCTCAATGACCTCCGCGGGGATGTTGTCCTTGTCGTACGCCTGCAAGCAAAAACAGTTGGGGGGGTCAGTGCGCTTCGGGAGGCAGAAAGAGGGGAAGTTTGATCTGCAATCTCGAATTTTATGCCAGATGACTGCTGGCAAATACCTTTGAAAAAGATCCGAACTGCTTGCGGCAGCCGTTTTAAAGTACAAAAAGCATCACAAGGATGAAAGGGCTTTTAAAATATGTTAGACAACACTCGTTTTGTGTTGTTGTACATGTTCTGAGGAGCTATTCATATCCATGAACGTTAGGAGACATCCCGAGGTCTTGAAGCAGACGAGGCCCTCTTCTGCCATCTGAGGCACAACCTATTCCTGGTAGCCTCCAAATGCTTCTCACGAAGTACCAGATTTGCTGACCTTGAGGCTGGGCAGGAATGCGGTGTCGGCGAGCATTTGCTGCGCGGGCGACCAGTAGTCGTCGATGCGCTTGGTGGGCTCCTTGGGGTCCGGGATGCGCTTCGGCTTCACGCCCTTCATGATGCAGCACGCCTCCATCACCAGCTTCACCACCGCGGGGGGGTTCTTCATCGCCTTCACCTGCACGCGCGAGCAACCCCCCAAGGCTCGTCAACCGGTCCTAACCCCAACGAGAGTTAAACAGAAAGGAAACGGAACCTTTGCGGCCACGGTTTTGCCTATCCTATTGTAGATACGAGAAACGATTAAAAGAAAACTCGCTTGAGAACATGTTTTCAAGCAAGTTAAAAATGGTGATCTGAAACCTTTGAAGCAATGGCGAGGGATCGTTCTACAGTACTTTTCAAAAAAGCTCGAATAGTGAGAGTTATGTTTCGCTTCCTGCAATAGGTTTGCATTCCCCTGGGAATTCTTGTGTTTTTCCTGGACATGACGGGGGGATCCCCTGGGCGGCGGCTGACCTCAGTGACGTCCCCCTTGGTGAGCGTGTCCAGCGCGGACAGCGCGCTCTCCAGGAGCGGCATGGCGACCGCCAGCTCCTGCTCGCAGTCGTCCTTGATCGCCTTCGCCTCGCTCGCCTTTCCGTTCGCGATCCGCTCCTCCTCCTCCACGACGGAACGCGTCGCTTCCGCGTCCTTGGTCTCCCGCGCGATGACCACCAGGAGCTCGTCCGTCTCTTTGGCAGTCTGGATCAGCACGGGCTGAAGCGCTTCCAGCTCTTGCTTCATCACGCTCACCTGGCCCTCCGCGCCCAGCAGCTTCTCCAGCCCCACCTGCGCGCGCGCGGCCGCGAGGTTTTTGGGTTAGGCTTTTGACTGGTTTTCCAAGCGGCTGGTCGCGACTGATGCATCATTCTCTTGACACACAGATTATGCGCGAGATTCTCCGAGACTTTAAAGCCGAGAGTTTCTCGGTGCTTGCACCATTCGTCCTCATATAAGTTATTTGCAGCTTTAAGGAGGGCACTTCCATAATTCATTCAGTCTAAAGATTTGAAACTGGTAGAATGATCAAAATAGCAACCATTGCTCGCATATACTGCGACACTGCCCGAAACGTGCCCAGCTTCGAATTGTGATGCAAAGGTAAAAAATGGACGGCGCACCTCGTATCGGCGCAGCTTGGTCTGCACCTCCTGCCGCTTGCTCGCGAGCAGCGTCTGGTACGTCGTGATCAGCTCCAGGTATGACGTCGGCGTGACGTACACGTTGCGCTGGAGCTCGCGCTGGAAGCGCGCGGCCAGGCTGCGCACGTTCTGGTGGAACAGCATGCACATGTCCACCACGGCGCCACGTGTCTCGGGGCGGTCCATCTCGACCGTCGATAGGAACTTGGAAGCGACGGACTGCAGCGCGGACTCGGGCCACTCGCTGAACCAGTCAATGGTGCAGCAGTTGACCAGCGACGGGAACCTGTGAAGGAACGGAAACAGAGCCGTAAGAAACGGAACGGAATGATGTTAGGGAGGCAGCAGTAAAGAAGTACGACACCGAATAATCCAAAAGAGAAATGAGGGGCGAAAACGGTAGGACACAACGCTCAAATAAACGCAAGTTCCAATCCTCTCAGTCGATCTCGTATTTCAGGTATCTCTTGCGGACCATGAGCCAGAACCGTTAAGATATAATAAATACATGTAAACCTCTCGATTGAGCTGCAGATTACTGCAACGCTTTCTTTTCAGCCGCCAGATACAGGCAGAATTGCATTGGCGCGACGTATTCTTCGGGTAGCAATAAAGCACCACTTCTGCTCCACGTCATCAAAGTTTGGAAATTGGGCGCGCGCGCTCACATGCGCAGGCGCGTGCGGAAGGCGTCCCCGACGGGGCTCATGCAGATGACCATGTGCAGGTTCTGGCGGCACGCGTCCACGAAGAACCGGTACAGCTCGCCCGCGCTGCCGTCGCGGCCGGCTTTCTTCGCGCGCGAGCGCACCATCTCTTGCATGTTGATCAGCTCGTCCTTCGCAAACAGGTTGGGCACTTCTCCCGTGTTCAGAATGTTGTTGATGTCTTCCAAGAAGGCTTCTTCTTTGAGCTGCGTGTCGCTGAAAACGAAGACGGTGGACTGGTTGTCGCCCCCCGCGCGCTTGAGCACGGCTTTCAGGTCCTCGTGCCACTCGGTCATGCCGTAGCTCTTGCTGATCTCCACCTGAGGACAGAAGATGGGGCTTGGTGAGGGGGACCTACCGTAAATCAGAAGTTGGAGAAACTAACGGACAGCAGTAATTGGTGAAGATGAAAGCTCTGATAGTGATACCAGAAATTCTGTGCGTTTCTTATGATCGGGGTAACATTGCCCCAAGATCTCGTAATAGCCTTCTGATGACCCTGAAATCTACTCTGTCCGGATCTGATGAAGTACGGCGTAAGCAATCCGTGAAACGCAAGATGAAGAACAGAAACAATCAAAGTACGCAGAGTTGAAGACGGCTGAGATCAACAGCGAGGTGTGTACTCTCAGAAGGCGCTGCAAAGGAAACTTGTCAACAATCAAAACCCTGTCTCAGAATACGACCACTGAAACAACACATTGGCAAACGCTCTCCTCGGAGATGTCCCGCGCGCGCACCTGATAGAGGTTGCAGCCCGCCATGGCGGCCGCGAGCTTGGTGAGCGACTGGCGGCCGCTGCCGCCGACGCCGACGAGGAGCGCGTTGCCGAAGGGCTGCCGGATGACGCGGCTGATGCGGCACACGTGCTGCGCCGCGTACTGGAACAGCACCAGCGGCATCGGCGTCTTGCTCTGCGTGTTGTAGTCCGTTAAATACTCCTCCATTACCGCGAGCAGCCGCGCGCCGTCCTGCACCTCCGTGTACCTGCGCAGATATTAAAATGTCATTAGCTCGGGGTAGAGTGGTGCTTCAACATGGGCTTCTGACAACCATACATCAAATGGGACCATTGATACTTTACCGCAAACGAGGTCGAAAGGAAAAAAGGGCTTTACGGTGGGCATTGCAGTGCGCTAACGAAAAGCGAAGCTTTCTTGAGGTGGAAGAACTCTCTTGAATGTTGGAAGCATTGCTTGATAGCAGAAAGAACTTTCGGCGGCCTCGGACGCGTTGGAAACGCGGCAGGTTTGTGTGCCTAAGCAAGCTCTTATAACTCGGAGCCGCTCCAGCACCTGGAGATAGACGGGAATACTGAAGAATAGCTTTCCAGTATCTCGAGAGGAACAGATAGCTGGCAAATCGTTCCACGCCAAAAAGACAATCTTCTCGCTACAAGGCAATCCTACGGAGAAAATTTAAACGCAGAACTGGCCCACCTCTTCGGGTCCGCGTTCGGGTCCATAAAGTCGCCGAACGTGAGCTGCCGCACCGCGTCGTCAACTCCCAACCCCGCCCCCTCCGGCCCCACAAACACCTGCTCGCACCGCTGGTTCAGCCGCTGCTCCACCTGCCCCTTCATGTACTTGATAAACCACTCCCGGTCCTCGGTAGACACCAACCGGTCGTGGAACACGCGCAAGCACTCGTGGGCCCACAGCCGGGCCAGGCTCTTCCGGTCGTCCAGACCGGAATCGACCATGGCCATGCCCTGGAAGACTTTGGAGAGGTCGCGCATGTTGTACGTGTAGTGGCTCTTGGCGGGCGTGGGTAGCAGCTCGCGCTGGTTGGCCTGGTAGATGTCGATCGTGGCGTCCACGATGGCGGGGCCCAGGCTGGCCAGGTCGCCGGAAAGGCGCGCCCGGCGGACCCACCTGCGAGTGGAAGGGCCCGGGTTTACTTTCTAACTCAAGCAATCTGCAAAGCGCATGCTTCAATAGTACAGACGATTAACAGAACGAACGACAAAGGGTGAGAGACATTGGTGAAGGGGCTTTGCTTGGAATGCAGAAGGTCAGATCTAGCGCTGCGTCCTTGGATTCACGAAATACTCGTACAACTTGTTTTCCAGGTCGCAAGCAGAAAGGTACTTTCGGACGGTACGTAAACTCTCACAGTTTATTTACCAGGGGAAAATTCGTCCAACGAAGCAAACTCTCTGCTTAATGGGTGGTGGGTTTGTGAAAGTACGTCAGCGAAGGCTGTAAACTGTCAGCCAGACACCCACCAGTCGAAGATGGTTTTGAAGATGGAGGAGAGGCTCCCCGCGTCGAAGTCGGTGATGGACACCATGTGGAAGTGCCGCAGGTACCGGGCGGTCACCGGGTTGCGCCCGCCCCCCGGGGGGCCCATCGCAGCCACAAACTGAATGTCCGCCAGCTGCTTGAACGAGTTGTCCTCCCGGTCATACCAACCGCCTGCCAGAGGGGCAAGCGATCTTAGTATTATAATGTTGTTAGACTGATTAGTAAAAGGGCCTTTCTTGAACGGGTTTTCCTCCCGGTCGTACCAACCGCCTGCCAAGGAGGAGCAACGGAATAAGCGAGTCACTTTGGATCGCCTCGAGCCGAATCCTGGCGGCGGCAAATGTTTCATTGAGAGCGTTTTGAAGCTTACTGCGAGTATTGGACCACCATCCGTTTACGGCACATGTTCAAGCAGCCTGCTACGCTTTTCAGAAAGAAAGCCAGGAAGTGCAGAACTGATCATGAAGGTCTGCAGATAAAGCAGTCCCCAGGAGAAACCACGTAGGGTCCGACTGTTCTGGACAGCTACCTCAACTCACCAGGAAGAGGCACGGGTGGCCTCACGCATCGATGCAAGCTCCTGGATTTTTTGATCCTCGACAGTCATCTTTGAAAAGCAGTCCAGGAATTATCCAGGTACTCAACAACGACCAGATTTATACTTTATCCGTTTTGCCGTGTCCCCTCACCGTGGTCCATCCACTGGCGCAGCAGCTCGATGGGCGGCTGGCTGCCGTACTTGTCGAGCGCCGGCATGTTGAGATCGTCCACAAAGATGACACACTTCATCCCGAATGGCGGCCCATACACGCCCTTTCTCCGCTTATCCAACTTGGAATCGATGATGTCCTGCGTCTGGTTGGCGTTGGTCTGCGCGCTGAATGTCGACATGATGTTCTGGTACACGTTCTTGTCGAGGCCTGACGTCAGCATGTGCTTGACGTAGACGGTTTTGCCGGTCCCGGTGTTGCCGGCGAACAACACGTGGCGGCCGTGCGTGACGAGCAGCTCCAGCAGGTACGAGTAGCGCGCGGTGTCAATCGTGGGCACGATGATCTGCCGGGGAGAAGACGACACCATGAATCAGCTGTGGCTCCCACTCAAGTGTCCTGTTAGTGTAGAAAGGCATACTTTGAAAGGAAAGACTTATCTTGTCGAAGGTCACAATAGACCAAAGCTCTCTGGAGCACAAGATGCTGAATGCTCGGGTTCTGAGAAGCATGCGGAAGGTACTCTCACAACTTTAGAGACACGCGGGCGTGCCACAAAGACCCACAGCCGAAATACAACGGCATGAATTCAGACCACTAAGGTTACTCAAGATCTTCTAAAGCTCTGAAAAAACCCCAAAGAGCTTCATTCTCAGAATTCATTAACTTGTTCTTCAGGGGACATCCCCTACCTCATGGAAGGCAGAGTCCACGGAGGGCGGCGTCAAGTCGATGGTCTTGAGCCAGGCCCGCCACGCGCCTTCCCTCTTGTCAAACACGTAATCATACACGAGGCCTTCCTCCGGGAACGGCACCGCCAACTTGAACGCCGGCTTCTTGATCTCCAGCCCCGGACCGAGATCCACACCTAGTTCGTCGTTCTGCGCGAGCAACCGGCGCACGAATTTGTCGAACTTCTGCCGGCCTTCCACGTCCGTCGTACCGCCTACCGACCACACTAGCGAAAACACAAACAGGCTGTGAAGCCAAGAGTCGAGGTCCTTTCCCTGCGGGGCCGGAAGGGCCTTGTTTCCCCCGTGGTCGCCCCCCCCCTTTGTTTTCTCCCCGGGTTTTCCGCCCTTTTCCGGGTTTTCCGCCTGCCGGAACTCGTCCAATAAGCTATCGAACATGTGCATCAGGCTCTGCGGGAGGTTGATGTCCGACGTCGGGGTCAGCTCGCGGCACTCCTTCCGGATAAACCGGAGGCAGGGGTCCACCAGCCACTCGAAGAGCGCCTCTAGGGTTCCCATCGCGGCTTCGTTGTTGGCCAGGCACACGCCGGCCGCCCACGACTGTTTGAGCGGCCGCCAGCCGATCTGACTGGGCTCCACGTAAACCATGCCGCAACGGCTGACGGTAGCGGGGGAGGCTTGCGCTAGGTCTGCCACTTCAAAGATCATGTTCATGGATGACGTCATCTGGACGATCTCGCCGCTCATGAGGCACAGCTTCTTGTTGTCGTCCAGCACCGTGTTCATGTTCTCGATCCACACCTGCGGAAGAGGGGGCAGGTCGGTCAAGGACTACACGCGACAGGCAGAAGCATTCGTAGTATCTCTGGATGCGCTGGGTATTGCAATCAAGTAATTCCTGAGACGGAACTGTTGCAGAACATCAGAATGAAACCCGCTAAGAAGAGATGAAATCAAAACGCGTGGCTTCAGTTCCCTCGCCGCAGAACTCCGAAAACCGAAACACGGACCCGCTATTAAGACCTCGAAAATCATCTAAAGATTTTGAGATGCAAAGTAAACGCGTGGCTCGAACAATAAGGATAAAGTTTGATAGCTTTAAGGATCTAAGAGCTATAAGACACGCCCCGAAAACGGGTGGGTTTGGTATGGTGGTTAGGGTGGGTTCGGGTGCGGAGCGCGTCCTCTCTGTTGATTAGGGTTTTTAGTTAGATTTACTGCCCCCGTTACTTTCTTCTAGGTATTAGACCCTTATTAGTAATTGATGGCAAATCGAAAACATCTTTGCCGCGAGACCCCGGGGGATCCCCCCGGACGCCTCACCGCGTCGACCGGCCCGTCGAAGAGGATCCACTTGCGGTCGGGGCTGGTGTCGACGGCGGCGGTTCGGAAGGTCTTGGCCAGCACGCCGTCCTTCCACTCGTGGCTGATCGCGTCGAACTGGCCGTACAGCTGCCCGATGTACACCGACTTGGGGTTGATGACGTGGCAGCGCGTGCGGTTCTCCATGTCGCCCGACTCGTGCATGTCCGTCAGCGCGCCCGCCAGCACGCGGTACGCGCTCGTCTTGGCGCCGTAAGACAGGCCCACCTGCAAACATACCGATGGAGTAAATTTTCCATTTTAAAGCCTGCCCACGATCGGTTTGGTGGGTTATGAAAAGAAGAAATGGCTTCGTATAGTTGCTGCATTGGTTAGCGCTCGTCCTTCTAATCAGAACAACAGAAGCAGCAAAGACAAGGTAACTGATTTGAACAGCCTGCACAGATTGTCTTGTTCCTGAAAACCTCTGGTTATCTGACAGATTTGCGCTTCAGTGACGAAGGTTTAATCTCGTAAGCGTGGCACCGCTTGAAAAACTTAAGCACTGCTCAAGCCAAAGCGATCGCGACAAACACAGAAGGCTCCACGAACAAATGTTCTGGCGCGCTCGGAGTTGCAAACCGGCAACAAATTCCAAAACTTCCTCACCAGCATAAGTCCGTGGCGCACGAGGATCATCTCGTAGAGCTGGAAGATCTTCTCCAGGAACACCGGCGTCGGCTGCAGCTTTAGCTTGTGGCAGTTGGCGATGCACGCCTCGCGCAGCCGGTTGTAGTCGGGGGTGGGGAGGACCACCCCGGGGAACAAGTCGGACAGAATACCCTCAAACAGCGGGATGTCCTGGGCCAGGAACTTGGGCAGGTTCACGTCCTGCAAAAAAAGGGGGTGAGTCGCTGCTTGAGAAGGCTTTGCCTTTGCGAATCCGAGCGTAATCTCGTTATGCACTTGGAACTGCTTTACACGTCCAGAATGAATACGAGGGCAATCTGACTCAAGCTTACATTTTTTGCTTAAAAAACAGAAAATATGTTCACTTCTTGATATTGATTGTAGAGCGAGTACGTGACTGCCTGACAAAGTGACAGAAAATGTTTCCTGAAGACGTGCAGCAAAAGCTCCCCACTCGGAATCATGCAAGATTTTCTCAAGTAGTTGCGGCTGACCTTGAGCGACTTGAGCATGAGGATGCCCTCCTTCTCGTCGGGGAACTTCTGCTTCACGGCGCCCGCCGCCCGCAGCACGCTGATCACAGCGCGCATACCTGGCACACAGAAATTCGAGCATTGGAGACGGCAACCGTGAACCTGCCAATTTTGGCTTGAGCTTTTTACAAAGAGAGGGGAAAATAATCATGAAACAAGGGTCATGCAAGGGCTTTAGGAAGGGACACTTCGAGGGTCGTTATGTATGAACAAGAAAGGCCTGCACGCAAACTCACGTATTGAGTGCCAAAACAATTATGGAAGTGTGACGACTCCCACGAGGTTGCCTTTACACTCCATCTAAAATGGGTCAATCTACGCCTGACTGGTCTCGTAATGCAGGCTCACCGTAGTCGTAGTGGTTCTGGCTGGACAGCTGTTCGCTGCACAGCTTGTACGTGGCCACCAGCTTGCGCGCAAGGTCACGGGCCTCCAGATAGCCAAACGAGTACAGCGTGATCTCCGAAATTAGCGCGTAGTCGGGGACCATCATGGCCACCGTCCGGAATAGCGCCTGACATAAACGAATGGACGTCCGAGCCGTCAGAATTGAGCGTGAGCCCTCGGCACAGCCTTACAGCTGAAAGCTGAGTTGCGGTGAACAGCCCTGCCCTGAGCATAACGATCTTCGAGCCCAAATATGCGGCAATCAATGCAAAACCCGCAAGATCAAATCCCAAGTAGAAGATAAAAACGGAACGTAGAAGATGGTCATTCCCCCTACTTAAACGATCGGATTAGGCGCATTCATATTGCATGTTCCGGGCTCTTTGCCAACGAAACTAAGATTCGGACGGCGTACCTTAAGGTTGTCCGGCAGCTCGGACCGTCCGGCGTAGCCCGGGTTCATGGTGATGAACACGCTGCACGTGTCACGCAGGGAGAGCTTGGTGCCCTCAAACTCGAACGTCTTGAGGTGCGCCGCCTTGGCGCGCTGGATCGTCAGGATTTGCTGCGCGATCACACTCAGCACCTGCAGAAACAAGCCGCCATGATCAGGGCTGCGGCTTAGGGCGCCAGGTTTTTGTAATCCTTCCATTCGGTCAATTGCTCAAAGCTTGGTGCTAGCATCCATCTCTGAATGCTTCTAATGGTAAAACCCCGAGAAGGTTGCCAAACACTTCGTTTACCGCATTTCTGCCGAAAGTATTTGTTTTTGACATATTCTTAGCACTTATAATGGTTCAAGGTGTTACCATCCTGTCCTATGGAAATCCCTACTTTCTGTTTCTTTTCTGGGCGTTGCTTGCTTTGATTGATTTCTGTCCTCCAAAATCCTCAGAATTCAGTCTGTCAAGCAAGAAGTGTTGCGCCATACCCCCCTCAAACTCTGATTCTCGTCGACATAGAAAGCTGCCCCACCTCGAGGTCGATCCGGTTGAACTCGTCGAAGCAGGCCCAGGCGCCGCTACTGGCGAGTCCCTTGAAGAACTTGCCCATGGCCAGGTAATCCAGCCCGTCACTACAATTGAACACCACGCACTGCATAGCAATCGCCTTGGCCAGATCCTTGGTCGTCTCCGTTTTTCCGGTTCCGGCGGGGCCCTCCGGCGCTCCGCCCAGGTTCAGGTGAAGGGCGCCCATCAGGGTGCGGTAGCACCTGGACCAGAAGGAGAAAACTCTAATTTGAAAACTGGGAAGCATCGAGGAATAACGATCATTGAAGCGTGGATTCAGATACAGACCCTTGTTGACACAAAAGGCAACACTGGAAGCATTCTATTTGTGCCAGACCGGAAACTTCCTCATTACTCTTGGAAAAGGTGGGGAAGAGGAGGCGCAAATCACCATACTCAAAGGCCACCGTTTCTAGGGAACAGGAGAGCGTCTTCCCTCTTGAAGCTTCACTGCTGGTTCGAATCCTGATTTTGTTGCAAGGCTAAGTGTAAGAAACTAGCCCAGTCACCCAGCCTTGAGCGCACTCACCTGTCAGTAAGCGGTGTGATGACGAGGCGGCTGCTGTTGCCCAGGTACTCGAACGCATACGCAAGCGCCGCATTGATCATGCGGACCATGATTGCGCCATCTTCGTATCCGTACCGCAGCTGGCTCATCCACTCAAAGTCGGACTCGTCGGACACGCCCGCGTCCGCCAGGTTGCGGACGACGTCGCGCGCGTGCACGTCGATCACCACCAGCGCGCCGACGGTCTGGCGGTCCACCTTGCTCAGCTTGCCGCGCACTTTCTTTACCACCTGGGAAGCAGAGACATGAAGAACTTGAGGTCAAGTGTGTGGAGTTGATACCAGCTTTGTGAGCTCTGCTAGTCGCAGCTGAAAGGTGGGTCGAGGATACTCGTTTCGTGTTATGGCAGGACTGTCCTCGACGTCGATAGGGATTCTCTAAGAACGGGGGTTTGTAGTGCCAGTCAGAACCTTCCAGCATTCATCCAAAGGGTTATTGGCGTGGAAACAAGAAAAGCAATGGCCGATTTTGGCCGCTTCCGAAAGCAATGCCAGGAAGTCTGCCCTCAACATTGAGAGTGAGCGCCATCTCAGATGAATGCAGATAGGACGTTTCCGAACAACCCATTCATAGAAGCAAACTGCTTACCTCTTGCAGCTGGGCGGTGCACTGGTCCTCGTACTCGCGCACGGTGTGGGCGCGGATGGCGGCCGCGACCTCCGCTGTCCAGTACATCTGCGAGCCGCAGATGACGACCTGGCCCGGCCACTGGAAGATCCACTGCGACCGCTCCGTTACGGCGTACGCGTCGAACGCGCGGCGCGTGACCGCGCGCAGGCTCTCGCGCATCACCGCCTCCACCTCGATCAGCCACTTCTCCACCTGCGCGCGCGAGAGAGAGGGAAATAATGATTGCCTGAATTATGCTCACGGTTACTAGCTTCGAATGGATCAGCTATTGCTTGAAAAGGCCGTTACAGACAAGTGTGGGCAATGAGAAATTGTCAAGGGAAGAGAGAAAAAAGGAAGAAAGAAAGAAGGCGCCATGTTATCTGCATGGAGATTTATCCGACCACTGCTAGCAGACTCGTCGAGCGACCTCTTGCTTTCGATCAAGCTTATATTCGCTCGTAAATTCCTCAAGGGAAAAGATACAGTGAAGCATTCCTGATCTTCGCAGCAATACACTTCTCGTCTACCACTTCATTTTTCAAATTCTAGGATTTACAACTCCTAACGCCAGACCGGCAACGTGCTCAAGTCTCACTAGTCACAGTGACATCACAGCCCGGTACGTACCTGCCCCCCAGCGCTCTTGGGGTTGAACGTCCGCACGAATTCGACCTTCTCGCCGCCGTCGGAGAGCATTGCGGTGACGTCCATGTTCTCCTGGAACTCCAGACCGTTGATGCCCTCGAAGATCTTTTTGAGGAACGGCTGCACGCGCAGCGGGTCCTTGGTCTCGCTCAGAATCTCCAGCAGCTCGTCGTTGGACAAGAAGTAGAACCTGCGGGAGGATACTGGGTATTGAGTGCAGATCGGTTTGAAGCACGTGACGTTGCTCCTTCGTTTGGGCTACGCAAAGCTTATGTTGGGTTTTCGCAGAGTGAGTGAGCGAAAACGCTAATGGCCAACTTCTTACGCTAAGTTACAGTAGTCAGAGTTGAGATGCAGGCACGCAATCATCTGTGTGATGCTTAGCCTTTTGATGACTCCGATAAGGCAGTAGTGATCCTCCCCGAAAGCGCCGCAATTCCTGTTCCAAGTATCATAACTGATAAAGAACCTTCATCCTTTCAAACTAAAGCTTTCACATCCTTCTGACCTCGACCCATCTGCAACGACAGGAACTATACCGACAATCTCTGATACGATCTTCACTCTTCTCCTGACCTGGGGAATGCGAGCCGCTTGGTCTCGAGGTAGTCTGACAGTCCCTTTTGCACGAGGTCCAGCAGCTTGTTGGCCTCCTGCAGGTTCTTCAGCAGCTCCTCGTCCGACGCGACCACCATGGCCTCCGGATTTTTCGCCACCTTCTCCATCGTGCGCCGCCACGTGGTGTCCACCGCGCGGAACTTGCGCCCCTCCGACGGCATTTGCTGCACGCACAGAGGGACACGTGTCAGCCTAGTGGTGTGCGCGGGGTCCTATTGCATGAGGGAGAATGCCGTAACAGCTTGGAGGTGAATTACGAGAGGCACCTTGCCCTGAAAAGCCAAGGAAGTCAGTTGCAAGAAATTCTGCCAGCACTACGTATGAATGTAAGAGCACATACCCACAAGTTCCCAAAACAGGACGGCTTACTGACTGCAAGTCGGCAAGGCTTGGCCCTTCAAATCCGCTTTTAGCTTGACTTCTTTGCTGAATCCTCTGACAGATTATGCGGATGTTGAAGGTCTGCCGGCCATGGAAATACACCTTGACACCCCAAAGCCCTCAAACCCTATGTTTCTATAACCCTGAAACCCTCAAGATCGCGCGCGCACCTGCATGATGTCCTCGCTGCCGAAGAGCCGAAGATGGGCTCCAGGTAAGATATACTGCCGCCCGACAGGAATAAAACCCGAAGAGCCTAGAACCATTTTAACCTTTAATACCCCACAACCCTAAAGGTCGCGCGCGCACCTGCATGATGTCCTCGCTGCCGAAGATGGGCTCCAGGTAGAGCCAGGCCTGCTGGCACTTGAGCCACTCGTCCACGATCTCCTGCATCGTGTTCAGCTTCGCCTCCCACAGCTTCACGCGGTCCTCGAACGGCCCAATATACGGCGACGCGCGCATACTCTGCGTTTTCACGATCTGGTCGTCCAATAGCATTTGCAGCTCGTCCAATCCGCGCAGTATGCACGTCCCAGTTTCCCGCCACTTGATGTAGTCGAACTTGACGCCCGCCCACTCGCCCTGCATCTTGTCCAGCGTGCGCTCCAGGCTGTACTCCTTGCTCGCGAACTCGCTCACCTGCGCGCGCGGAAACGAGGGCTCGGGGCTTAGAACCTTCATGTCTCCAAGAGTGACACACCTGACTCTTCAGATTCAAGTTAGAGTGCTTCAGAAAAGGTGAGAAAATAATGAGGAGCGGGTAAACGCCGCTGAGCACACTTTCGAGATCGATTTCCGGTCTCACACACGCAAGCACCACTGTCCCACAGAGCCTCGTATTAACAGGGCATGTTTTATTTCAGTTTTCCTGCCGGCTACAATCCCCACCCCCGTTTTCGCCATTAGTTTTTGCTGCACTTCGAGTACTCATCAAGAACCCACATCTAGTTCCTTAATCTGAACGTACTTCGAGTCCTGATCTCCCCTTACCTCCTCGAGCGCAGTCAGCTTGGTGTTGAGATTGAGCGCGAGCGCGCGGCTGACGCTGAAGTTGGCGTCCGCGCGTACGGGGAAGCCGACGGCGTCCGAGAGCTTGGCCCAGTGGCGGTCGCGCATCCCCGGGTTGCGCAGCGCCACGATCATGGGCAGATGGCCCTGGAACGATTCCACACGCGACTTGAGCTGCCCCGCCACGTCTACGGCGGCCCCGGAGACCTGCTTCAGGGACTTGGAGGTCGCCCTGAAAATAGGAAGATTAGTATAGTGGTCAGTTGCGGCTAGATTTACAAGCTGGACCTGTTAAGCAGCGAAGGAGAAAATGCAGGTTGAAAGTGTTGAATCGGTTTGCGATGGGCAAACAAGAGTGATCGGAAGAGGTTGCAAGGAACCTTTTGGCTAGGCGTTGCAAGGGAGGAAAGTCACTAGAAGACGACGAGTAGACTCCAAAAATCAGGACCAGAATTTCCTTTTACAAGCCTCTACAGTAGTTGGCAATCACTATGTTCTGCAGAACCAACTTTGCGCTAACAACAACGCAACGCTCGTTTCCGGTTCTCTCCTAACCTCTGCCTAACCCTCACCTGCTCCACTTGTCCATGTCCGCGGTGACCGCGTCCGCATCCAGGTCCGTGAACGGTCCGTCCATCCAGCCGGGCAGCGCAGTCGTGAATTCGCCGGCGGTGCGCCAGAGCGTGGCGTACGGATCGAACTCCTTTTGGATGTCCTTGAGCTGCGGGTACTCGCTCGCGGGGAGCGCGAAGATCGCCTCGCGCGCGTTGTAAAGGTCCGCCGCGGCCGCGCACTGCGCCAGCTTCGCCTCGATGTCTTGCACGTACGCGACGCGCTCCTCCACCTGGAAAAGAAAAAGGGTTTTGGAGGGGATAGGATTTGGGCCTTGCTACCCAACAAGGTCCTTTGGGGGGAAAGGGAAGGATCTTCAATTGCTTATGATATGGTTTTTATATATTCCATCCCTAACCCTGAAAGCCTATTATACAAGTAGAGCATCCGACACCTTCCTAGACCCACTGATGCAGAATCGCGAATACAGCGAAGATACTGGTGATCTCAGCCTGCGAGGTGTTGCTCAGCAAGCCCTAGTAACGCAAGATATTCCTGAGCGCAAGGCTTCTTGAGGTGGAGAATAGGAAGACTGGTGACCAGTCATTATTACGCGCAAAAGGATACAATCACATAACGAGCGATTGTCTTCAACACGTGGGAGCACCAGCACCGGACCTGATCAAGGTCCCCTTGCACGATGAACTGCTTCACGTCCGCTGCGATCGCGTCGATGTTCTCCAGCAGCGCGCGCTGGTCGCGCGCGAGCTCCTTGGTGAACGCGGTGCGCGCGCCCGCGAGCCGCGCCTCGCACTCCTGGAGCGCGGCCTGCATGCGCTGCGGCCACGCGGCGGTCGCCCAGTGGAGGTCCGCGGCCGCGTCACCCGCCTCGAACTCGAGGCGCTCCAGCAGCTCCCACGCGGCCGCGCTCTCCGCGATGTCCTTCTCGAGCGCGGCCATCTCCTTACGCGAGGCGGCCAGGTACTTGCGCAGCTCGTCCAGGTCTTCCGCGGTCTGCGGAAACGGAACGGCGCGGTCAGCAGATTAGAAAAACTGAGGGCGAAGAAGAGACGGCTGAAGTTGCTTAACGAAGCCAGATTACGAGGGGAAAAGAAACAACGAAGCTGATGTTCTGAGTGGCATCCAAATACTTTCCTTCTGATTGAGCTTTTCAAAGGGGACGATGGTCTGCCAAATGAGCAGCAGCGCATCGAACGCATACACTCGGTCTCCTAATTCAAATGGTAAAATCAGGGGGCTGAAGGAAATTTTCGAAGCCGGAACATAGGATAAACGACCGTTACGACCGTCCGCCTTACCTTGAGGTCCTTTTGCAGTTCCGTTTGGATCTCCGCGAAGCGCTCGCAGAGGAAGCGGTTGCGGTCGGAGGTGGTCTTGAGCACCTGCGCCATGAGCATCTGCGCGAGCTGCAGGGCCTTCTCGCGCAGCGATGCGCGCACCTGGGTGCAGTTGACGACCACCATGCGGAACGGCACGTGGCTGTCGCTCTCCTCCAGCACCGCCTCCGCAACCTGGACGGGACGGAACGGAACGCTGAGATAAAGAACGATTGGGCAAGACAAGAGGTTGTGACGAGGATGGCGTGCTTTGCCGGAATGTGACTCACCTGGAAATAGAGTATCCTTGCCTGTAGTGTTTGAGTTCTCTCGATTTTTTGAGTCTCGAAGTCAGATATTAACACAAGGATGCAGTATGATCAGACGGCTTTTGTTCAGACAGAAGCAACAGGGTGAACATCTTAAGCACTGAAACCTCTCGAGCTAACGGTAAGGTTTGTCCCAGACGTCACCTATTTTTGATTCGAGTGGCAAAAGGACCGAAGACCTCGAACAGTGGCGGACCGAAGCTTTAACTCCAGACAGAGCACCCCAGCAAAATGCACACCGCTCCGCTTCGAAGATCATGCATCGCGCACCCTGTTATGCCGCGTGATCTCGTCCTCGTACTTGTCCAGAGAATTCTTCTCCCCGGCCCACTCCTCCAAATACTTGGCCGCATCCATGCTGACCAGGCTCTGGTACCGCCCGTAAGCGCCCGCGAGCTCCTGCGGCCCCACCATGTTCTCCTGCAAAACCTCCTGCACGCGCGCGCGCCGCGCGGCCGCGAAGGGCTCGCCCGCGGTGAGCGTCTTCATGGGGCTCGGCTCGTAGATGTCGAACAGGACGGCCAGCCGCGTCGTGACGTCATCCACGTTGGAGGCCTTCTCGATGATGGAGTCAAACAATTGAAGGATCTGTTGAGTAGAGATCACAACGGTCAGATTGATTTCAGGAAAAGGGCTGCAATTCAAAGTATGCCAGAGTACGGATCCTTTCCAGACGCTCTCGTTCTAGCAGTTTTCCTGCTGTCGAGACCTAAAAGAGTCGTGCCCCAGGTCCAATACCTCTTTACAACTTCGCTTGCACCATCTTTGGATCTGATTCTTACGGCAAGTGACTTCACTGAATCCCGAAAAATTACGACTGCTAGCTTTAAGGATATGAAGTATACTCCCCCCAGTGTTGTGCATTACACTCTTGTAATTCTGCCGTTCTTCAAGCGGATTTTCATAAAGCAGCCGCTTCCGCCTGAGAGGACAGCCGCCCACTCACCGTTCCTTCGAGCTCGCTCAGCTTCGGCACAAACTCGAACCGGTCCCGGTCCACCGTCAACTGCACCTCGAAGACTGGGTCGCACAATGCGCGTGCCCGCGCCTGCGTCGGCCGCGCAGTGTGGCTGCCCCCTCGCGGCGACGCGGGCGCGTGCGCTTCGGACGCGGCCGCGGGTTCGGCCGCGGCAAACTGCTCCCAGATCTGGACGAAGGCTTCGAGGCTCTGCTGTACGACGGCGCGCAGCTGCGCGGTCATGACGAGCGCCAGTCGCCGCACGAATCGCACCAAAAGTTCCTTCCGCTCGGGGGTGAGCGACTCGCCCACCTGCGGGCACAGGTCCTCCACCATGCTCACCACCCGGGGGACCCACCTGGGGAAAGGTGCGGTAACGGGTGAGGTTTGGAGGATAGAGGATCGCAAGAATGACGACGGAGCACTTGTAGAACTTGCGCGAGCAGAATGTATCCCTCCGTATACGATGAGAAATCGGTTGTCGCTGCCGATTGACAACGGGTACGATCCAATAGTCTAGCTGATGGGAAAGAGTCATCTGAATGCTAAAGCTTTGTTGACTGCTAAAGCTCTGAATTTGATCGAAGTGCCGCCAGTATACACTCTGTCCACCTTCGAGCTATCGACCTGCAATGGACCCGTTCCTGGACTCCGAGGCCCCACTCCCTCAGCTTTCTCGCTTCTTGGGCCCGTACAAAGGGAACTAGAAGCGGCGGCACTTTTGCTCACTCTTGCTTGAGCTTGTCCGCGGCGTCGTCCATCTCCTCAGTCTGCGCGTCCGCGTACGTCTGCAGCAGCGCGGGGCGCGCAACGCGCGCAAGTTTGGGGTCGATCATGAGCACATTGGAGACGTCCATTTCCGTGAAGTACTTTTGCAGCGCCGCCAGGCAGCCCCCGTCCCCAATACACAGCGTCTTGCGGATGCTGTCCAGCGCGGCCGCGAAACCTTCTGGGCCGTACGGAACGCTCACGCACCCTTGCCTGCAGCAAAGACCGAGGGTGTGCAGTTCGTGAAGATTTGGAAGCAACGGAGGGAGGCGTGCTCAGGGCTGGCGCATCGCACTGCCCGTCTTCGAACTTAAAAGCGTTGCGCAGACTATAAGCGTGTCCAAACTTCGCAACAAAGACGGTGTCTAGGCGGATGTGATATGAATCAGGGCTTTGCAGCCCATAATGTGTGTTCATTCTGTGTTCTTTTCGTGTACTTTAGTGCTCGGTTCTCGGATATCCCCAACATCTCTGGGTCAATTCACGACCAGACTTCGCCGTAATCATTTGCACTCACGCTGGCAATGGCCGGACGTTATCTTCCGGCTGCACCCCCATCTCCTCCAGCTTGAGCCGCTTGTTGGGCGGCCCGTGAAAGAAGGCTTCTTCCACGATCGCACGCTTCACCGCAAACTGGTAGTCCTCCCGCGCAGCTTCATAGTAGTCGTCGACCACGGAGATGAGCTTGTGCGACATCTGCCACCCGGCCAGGTACATCAGCCGCTGCTTGAAGTCCTCGTCCAGGCGGTCCGGGTTGTCGAACGGCTGCCCAGCAATGAACGCGTAGTACCGCTGCAAGAAGTTTCAAGTGGGACGGTTGAGAGTCGTTTCTGTGACGCGGTTCTTGGATTTGAAACTGAAAGGGCTTTGAGGCAGCCCTATCGTCGATTAAGCGAAGATTGAAGACAAAGCGCTCGAACCCGCGTATTGATACGGCTCTGATCAGTCTCTCCACGTGCACCATCGTGGGGTTGTGCCGAAGGATTGTCGGACCCAAAGTTAGGTGTTGCTAAAGGAGCTTCTACTTTGTATATGTTTGGGTGCTGGCTGTAAGATACTGCTGACACTCCCAACCACAGTCTCGTGAGTTTTCAAGTGTCATAAGTTGTCAATGCTGCGACGGAGGCCCCTCACCGCAATTTCCTCTTGTCGTACCCGCTCCTCCTCTGCTGCCTGCATCCTCCTCCGGAAGATACTCTCATCCTCGAAGTCGAATAGCAGGTTCAACCTGTAAAAGCAAACGGGTATCAGCCAAGCCAGAGTAAAGTTACAACACATCGCACCACCAGTATCTTCCAAGGCCTGTGGGCATTCTTTTTCCGTGCATGCAAACCTTCGCAACGCAGAATTTTCCGCAAGTAGACAAGATTGGCGCTTGCCTCTTGACATGCTTGCGCTTGCCCGTCTTCTGCCACTCAATGAGGTAACTGTCATCCTCTGCCTGGTACTGGATGACTGTGCATGCTGCCCAGGTCTGCTGGCCGCTCGTGTCAAAGTAGCGCGACTTGGCAACAGCGCCCGCCTCGCCCCTCTCGTGAGCCTGCACTCGTACAGGGCCGTCAGAGATGAGACTGTTCTTCGAAGGGTAGTCCTGGACCGGGATTGCTTTCCTGACGCCAAATAGTGCCTGCATGGTGCTCAGAGCGGGCCTTCTTGTGCAGGAGGAAGATTACCCCTCTGAGTCCGGTCAGGTGCACACCGACAATATTTATTCTTGGAGGCGGCATCGGTTTGATGGCGCTCAGAATTCTGATGGCTTTGGCAGCATGCCAGCCAATATGGCAACACAGCTGCCGCTATTTTGTGCAGCATTCCCAACAGATCCTCTCAAAAAGTGTGGTAAGATCTAGCCAGCAGCCTTCTCAACAAGTAATCTCAGAGAGTGTGGTAGTACTGCCCAGCACCTGGCGGATGTACACAGCCGGGTGCACCAGGTCCTGGCTCGGATCGTCAAACAGCTCCAGCTGCGCATGAGCTCCATTTGGGGCTGCCCCATTTTCAGCATCCCCAGCTTTTGCCTCTGTTTGCAATTGTTCTTGCCCGCTTTTACCCTTGGTAAACAGCAGCCACGTTGCTGGCCGCGGCGGGAAGCTCCCCGTGTTGAGCGGATCATACCCCAGCTTGGGCTCTGATTCAAATTTGATTTGGGGGGCTGCTGAAATAGGAGACGCAGGCAGAGGCAGGGGCCCAAATGTTGTCGGCGACTGCGACGGTTCCTCGATCAACAACCGCGCGCGGTTGCTGCCCTCAATCTTCAGCGAGGGCAGCTTCTGCAAGCCCCCAAGCACAAGCGCGCTCTTCTCCTCGTGACTGGTCTTCCGGGACGGGGAGCTTTCAAACGTGACGGCATTCTGACCGGCGGTCGGGCTCTGCGCCCCCGGCTCTGGGTGCACCTTTTTGGCACCCCCGTGTCCGAATGCGGACGGGCTAAAAGCCTTGGGGAGGCGCACTTTGACCGGGGGAAGGATTGTGGCGCTGCTTTTTGGAACTCCCGAGCCCTTTCCTGGGCTTGTGTGGCCCGGTTGTGCTGCCCCCTCCCCTGGGGCCTTGCCCACGTGCAAACCCCCGGGGGGAGCCATGATCAGCTCTGCTTTATATGCGGCCCTACCGCAGCCTCATTGTGCAATCAAGGCTATGGCTACGACCCAGAGCTCTTATGCTTCAATGGCGTTCAAAGGTGAATATCTGATCAAAGCAGCTTTAACGAAGGTGCCTCGGATATCGGAACAGATGCTAGTGCTATTCATACAGCTAGATAGCATTCTGGCTCAGGTAGAAAGATACTGAAAATGCAATCAGAGGCAGAGATAGAACATTGAAAGTATATCGTGCCTCCGCTTCAATGAATTGATTGCTGGTGCAGTCCATGCATGAAATTACCCATGCCGACAAGCTTCAGGATGAAACGTAACTCATGTGAATATCATGGTTCGCACATGGCCCACAGTCTGAGCAGTGAGAAGTCCGCTGATACCCGTGCCGCCGCGGGAAGCTGCTAATAATGCGCGCACAGGGGTTTCCTCTTCTGGTCAAGAAGATGAAAGAAGGCAAAAGCCACGACGCACGCAGCTTTTTCTGTTCTGTTCACATAGAGGACTACCGGGTGCAGACCATGTACAGGTCAGTACCTTGCTTGAGTACAAGGCAAGCCTCTTGCGCATGCACGTAGGTAGTTCAGCTGGCTGAATTTATCAGTGCTGATCTATCAATGGAGCTGAGCCTGACGTATCCCTACAAGCAGATTCCGGACATTGCTCTTGGTGCTGAAAGCGCTTCACAGAGAAATTTTTTTGTAGGAGTTCGAGCTACACCAGCTTGCAACAAAGGTCTGCCTCTGGGGCCAGCTCCATGATCCCTCAACACTCGTCGATTACCACAATACTATATTGAAGAGAACCCTTGATTAAGGATTGAGGATTGCCTCTTTGAGACCTGTCTCAAGATAAACAAGGAGCTAGCCATCACTGTCAGCTTCAGAGCTCAATCATCGGAAAGGCTTCTGGTACTCATTGTGAAACACCGAAGCACACCGGAGCTGGAAGAGCTGGGAACTGGAAACTCAAGTACATGAAGTTCTGATAATTTGATTACAGTGCACCTACCCACAGCGTGAAATTAGAAGTAGCCTGTAGTGAGGGCACCTTCCTCTAGCAGTGATTTGTGGCCCATTTTCATTGTATGTTTCGTAAATGTGCGGTGTTCCCCTTCACCGCTGGCAGTGGAAGTGGCCGGTCGCATGTTCTGAGGTGAAGGTTTCCCAGCAGAAATAGTAAAAATTTGTGGAACCTTGGATATCACATGAGGCATGACCGTTGCAGATAAGAGGTTAGAGGTGGGCAGATTAGAGGCCAGAGGTGGACGCTGATCCACTACACATTTTGTAATGAAGCCTCTGAAGGGCATGACTCCTGACGAGGAACTGCTCGATCTCCAGAAGAAGTATCACCTGCTAGGTGAGCTGGGGTGTGGGGTCGATTGCATTCTCAAGTGTTTGGAAAAGTCGGTGTGGTAGGTTGCATACTTCAACTCGTGAAACTGTGCTAGGAAATTTTTCATGCAGCTGTTTGTCGTTGGTAAGGTGCCCAGCAACTGACTCTGTGTGACTATTTCTCAGGTTCCACGACTAGCAATTGCCAGACAGTTGTTGCACTGCGCAGCAACATGTTCACCCAGTAGTTTCGAAACACATTGCCTCTTTCAGCAGTAACGTTCAGAGAACGGAAGGAAACCTACTCTGATCATGATTCTGAGCCCGTCGATTTCAAATCTAGGGGATCTTTGGAGGCCTACTTTCTGTTCAATCAAGCCCTGGTGCTTCTTTCAAGGAAGTTTTAGGTCTTCAGCCCATCAGGGGTTTCCTCTCAGTTTACTCACAGCCGGATGGAACATCTCTGGGCTCTATCGTAAAAGCATCCAAGGAGCCGACACTTTGGGCAAAACGACAACAATCTCATTGCGGTGTAGAGGGCGACCGGAAGGCGTACTACGAGACGTCGCAATGGACAATCAAGCAGAACCGGGACACTCTGGCAACGGCCAAGAAGGAGAACAAGGACCTGCGTGCCCAGCTGGCGGCCATCCAGGCGGGGAACAGCGCGCGGGGCACGAGCGCAGGAAAGGAGACGGCGCGGCAGGAGATGCGCAAGCTGACGGAGCAGGTGGCGGAGCTGCGCAAGAAGTATGACGACACGCGGCAAAGGTGCCTACGGATACAGGCGCAGGTGAGGCAATGCAGGCATGATTCTTTTGATAGTTGGGGTATGCAGACGTGAAGTTGGAGAAATGCCGAGGGAACATCGTCTGTGAGCTTTGCACAGGGGCCGCACACAGTCGGACGGTTGCTGAAAAGACGAAAGACGGAAAAGCGCGAGAAACAATGTGCTACGAGACAACAAGTCAAGTCTCTGGCGATGCACAGCTGTCCAGGGCAAGTCGGATGCGCACCTGCTGCAGCTTATGTGCATCGAAATTGCCGGTCTACTAGAGGCTTGGTGTCCTCAGAAGATTGCAGACAAAGAAACAGGTTGGATGCGGGGCGATAGTCTTGTGGGGACATGTCAAGTGAAGGAAGTACCAATACAGTGTTAGACGTTCAGACCGTCGTCATTCTCTTAGTCGACAAGTGCTTTCCTCCAGAAAGCCAGTGTCCCGATCCAAAGAATCTGCCGCTTTTGCCGCAGGTGGACAAACAAGAAGCGGACACCAAAGCCCTGGAGATCGACGCAGGGGTGTACGGGGCAGACACGGACCCGTCCGTGCAGCAGCACATTCGCATCTTGGAAAACCGATTAGACAAGGCGCTCATCAAGTTCAACGAGGCGCAGTCCATCAAGCGGACGTACGAGCAGATTGTGCGGCGGCTGCGCGAGGAGCGCATCACCTTTGACAACCAGGTGGGGCAGTCGTACGGCATCGAGAGGCCCGTAATGGTCTTGAGTATGCTGATGTCGCATAAATCTCGTGCCGTTCGTGGAAGGACGGTTGAACCCGTTACGATTTCTGAAGGCGACTACTAACGAGGAGCCGGGAATGTCTGCGACCAGAAACGAGGCTCAGCAATCAGCTAAATTTCAGTGGGTGGTTTGCAGCGCAGAAATTTGGTTCGCTCGTAGGCGTCCTCGCACTCAAAATATTTGTGACCAGATGCAAGTCGAAACGGGAAGCGCAACCGCAACCGCAACCACACCAACCACGGGAAGATGTGGAGGCTTTGATCGCTGAAGCAATGATTTGTGGTGCCCTCTGCAGTTGGCGGCAATTGGGCGCACGCTGAAGGCTAAGGAGCACGACCTGGACGACTTGATTCTGATGTCGCACGAGGCCAACCACGCCAAGGAAATAGCCAAGGCCGACCTCGCCAGGGTGAGCCGCGTACGGCAGAATTAACCCTCAAAGAAGGGCTTGCCACGTGAAGTAGGTTGCTGCTCGTGGTTTGGAAACGTTCTGGTATTTTTGAAGCACCTCAAGATTGTTGTTTTCACTGCCTCTTTTGATGGCCCGTCGCCACGTCCATGGAGCAGAATGTCAGGGCAAATATTCTGGGTAACCGCGAAAAACGCGTTAGTTTACTGGAAGAGATTCACTGGCTTTGAGCGAGTCCACGGTTCTCCACCCACGGAAGGAATGAGTTCCAAGCTCCAGGGGATTTTTTCGGAAAGGCCTCCTGTGCTGCGTAGGTGCCACGTGGACGCACTTGGGCGCCTCGATTGATGCGAAGAAACGGGTATGATTGTCGGCTGACGGCAACACTCCGGGTAAAGCCATATCCGAGGCGTAAATATGACGAATCGGTATTCACCAACAGTTACTGGGCGCGTTGCAGGTGGACGGCGCGATCCATCACGAGCGCGGGGCGCGCGAGCGCGAGCTGGCGGACCGGCGCGCATACGTACTGGCGCTGCAGAACCGGGCCAAGCTGGAGCTGTCGTCGCGCATGGAGATGCGCGATAAGAACAGGAAAGATCTCCAGACAGAGGTAAGCTGCCGCGCACGCCAACTTGGACATGCGCCTGGGGCGAAGCTCGTTTATCATCTCGGATTCCATTTTTGTGCGATAGGCTCTGCGAATCAAAGGGCGAGTCATACATGCTTGCCCCGACACCCGAGAAGCACATTCGGGCCAGCTCGAGTGGCCGCTGCGTTCTAATTTTCGACCTTTCAGAAATCGTGTAAGCTTTGTTCAAGAATGTTTGATTGTCAGGTACTTTGAACCATCTAAGCGATCGCCCCTGATGATTGCTCGCATTCGCAGAAAGATTTCCAAGCATCAAAGTGCCGAATCTTTCGTGTCCTAGTCTGAAGCGCACAAGCCTGCCTCTGCGCAGATGCTGGACGAGGCGGCGTCGGGCGACGCGCGCACGCCGGGCGACGGCAAGGGCGAGGGCGGCGAGGCGCGGAGCGCGGCCGCGCTGGACGAGGTGCAGAAGAAGATAACGTCGTACGAGGAGGCGTTCCGCAAGATTAAGGAGGCCACCGGGCTGACGGACGTGAATGAGGTCATCCAAAAGTTCATGACGCAGGAGGAGACGGCCAATAACCTGAAGCACCTCACGCGCGAGACGCAGGGCAAAATCGACGCGCTCAACGAGGAGACCGCGGCAGCCAAGGTCAGCCGCGTTGCCGCCAAGAGGAGCGCAGGGTGCTGAGGGATCAATCGGCCATGCTTGTGGCATGCCTTGGTGATACGGTCTGCTTTTCGACCAAAGGTGCCTGCTAGTAATGAAATCCAGTCAGCTAGAGCTGCTCAGTTACTCTCGAGAGATCTTTCACAATGATCATACAGAGTGGGCTAGGGTCTTGCCCGGCGGCGAGAAATTGGCCCCCTTGAAAAGCGGCGCCTCACACAAGGCCACCCTTTCTCTGCACACATCCACTGCTCATCCCTCCCCCCAAGTTCTTCCGAACCGTCGTCAAACCCTGCCTCTACGATCCAAAGTGAAAAACAGTTGGTCACCAGACTGCTGCGCAAACCACTCCCTCACCCTGCTCCGAAACTACTTCCCTGTATTCTCATGAACATCCTTTTGCAGGCCAAGGTCGAGGAGGTGAAGTACTCCGGTTCGGGCGTGGGTGGCGGACGGCGGCTGGTGGACGAGTTTGAGGCGCGGCTCGCGGACGCGAATGCCAACTGCGAGCGCGCGCAGAAGAAGTACGAGCGCGTGGCCAAGATCCTGGTGAACATGAAGGCCGGCACGCAGCACGTGGCGGACAAGCTGGAAGTCATCAAGACGGACCAGGCACGTGACTTTGCCGCAGAGTGTTTTGTTTTCCAACGTAGGACGAAAGGGAAGGTTTCAGAATTCGGCTCAAAAGAAATGCGCGCTTTGTCTCGAAAACGGTTACCTTGTACACAGCAAACCTTTTGATCCACACCCCTGATCGATGTGAATGCTAAGCCTTGGAACGGCATAGATTAGTGAAAAGCCACTAAGACCGAAGGACTCAACCTGATTGCAAGTGGCCGAATGAAGTTTCGCAGCCAACTCTTTCGGCAAGCAGCCGCGCATCATACTTATTAAAAACGAGTCCCTTGCTAACGCTCCTTCGGGGCGAACCACAGACAAAAGTAGGCGACATGAAGTGTGCCATCAGTCAGCCGCCAAATCTGAAAATGGATTTGTACCCACCATGACGCCTTGACGTCTTACGATGTGCAGCCGGGCCAGGCGCAGCTGACGGACGAGAGCATCGCGGACGTCCTGCAGCAGTGCGAGCAGCGGCTCATCCGGACGCTGGACAGCTTCGCGGGCGACGACGAGCTGGCACGTGCCGTCGAGGAAGTGGAGATGGCCCGCAGCACCCCGTCGGGGGGGGACTCTAGTGACGGCGCCCTGGACCAGCGGATGCAGAACAACGTCCGGATCGGTGTGAATGCGCACGTGACAGGGGATGAGGAGAGCGACGGCTACTTCACCGATGATGAGGAGGTGAGGGGAACGTAACCGGGTTCTCAATTGGTAGCCCCATAAGGTTATTGCGCTCAAAATGGATGTAGGAAAGTTGGATTTCAAGATAAAGCGGTTTGTTTGGACGACGCATGTAAGGGCGCTCTCACGTGCATCCCTTACGACCTGCATGAGCATGGGAGAGGTCGGTTCGCAGCTCCTCTACAGTGCGCATCCGATTCCGAGGTTCTTGTGCTAAAAAACTCCGTTACCCTGCTTTCCTATCTCCAAAGTTGGACGAGTGTGAACAGATTCGAGGGTCAATATGCTCGCAAACATTCTCGTCCTGGACACAATATCTCGAGGCTTCTATCACTGAAGTTTCTTCGTCAATTCTTGACGACGAGGGCAGCCTATCAAAGGGACGCTCTACTCTCCTGCTTTGCTGGCTTCGCTCAGCTGGCCGTCACGTCCGCACCCGAGCGCCTCGCATAAAGTCGGCATAATCGAGCGCGTGCAGCGTCTAGGAATCCTCAGATTGTTGTTCATCTTGTTTTGCAGGATGAGCGGGACGTCCCAGACCGGTTGTTCGTCAAAGCAGCGTCGCTGCAGATGATGCAAAAGGCGGCGCAGCGCTTCAAAAAGAAGATGGGCCGATTCACGTCCATGGCAGGGCGACACAGCCCGAGCGATCACGGCCTCGGCTCTGAGTCACCGCTGTCCACCTTGTCGCCCAACTGGGGCTCTAGCACGCCCCCGCCCGTCAAGGGCAAGGTCAGCCAGGGCAAAAAGGCCGACCCGGAATAAGGGCGTCTTTGAGTAACTTTTTGGCTTCACTCCAGGGCGACGTGCGGCACAAAAATGGGAGATCCGTTGGAGACGCCAAGCGTGGACACTGCCATACCCACGATTGTACTCTACCGCTCAGAGAATCAATCTATATATCCAGAGAACCGTGCCAACTTCTTAAGTGCATTTTGAACGGCAGGATTTGCATGCGAGAATACACCAGTGTGGTTACGAATGCAATGACAAGAGCTCAGCACGGCGCACCAGTAACGTGCCCAATGAGAATATTGTGGATAAGCTAGGTGCGTTCGGTGCAAAGCCTGCTGGGTCCACATGCGCGGGAAACCCCCAGCATGGAAATGCACTAGTGACGGCTAGGTGACCGGCCAGTATATATAGGAGCCAGATCGACGCTACGATTCCTTCTCGGTCTTTGCAAAGTTAGCAAGCCACTGCTGACAGCTGCATGCACACATGTATTGCATTGAGATTGACATGGCACGCAGCCCACAGTGCAATATCGTGTACGATACCCCCAGGCTTGCAAAAGCTGTTCAATATCAATTGCTTGTGTTAAGAGGACCGTTGCAGGTCAGCCGAAAGTCAAATGGATCATCATTTTCTTTGGTTGAGGAGTTCACGCATGTCGGGCGGGATACTTTGCCACAAGGAACGGAAATTTGCGCAACTGAGCGGCACTGTATAAGATTGATTATGAAACACAAAGCCTATGGCCTAGGATAGTCCCCGAATCTTCACAATACTTCCATGCATGCCTTTGCGAGGTGCTCCTACGCCTATGTGTGTCAAGTCTGCCTACAGCGTTCTATCAATCCTTCATACCAGTACAGGTTCTATCCATGTCACATCTTAGAAAGCTTTAAACCCAAAGCACTTCAAGATCCACTAGCCTCCTAGACCTGTTTGTCGCTAGCCTCCTCGCCTTGGTGGCAACGTGCTACTGCATACAGCTAACGAAAGCAGGCCCCCAGAGCTCTTGCTTCCTTCAATGCAGTCCATTATGAATTGGGCGTCGTTTACCCAGCAACTATCCCTACTTGATCTAGAAAAAGTACAGTGTCCTACACAAAGCAAGCTCCTCTACACGGTGAGTACGTCTTCCCTTCGATCTATCCCCTCAGAGCTATAACACGAACAACACTATACAGCCATGCGCTTGGCCGGGGGCGGACCATCTTCGCTCCTGGTCTTGGCCTTGTCCTTTGGAGATGGCTTTGCCGAACTGTCTTTCTTGGACGACTGCCGAGTCAGCCTCGGACGCAGTAGAGGGTAGGTGATGATCTTCTCCTGCAACATTAGATATGTTCGATCGCGATCGGACTTATGCAAAGCCCAAATTTCCAGCACAGAACGAAGAGAGGTGCAGAGGAAACATCTGGACGGAACCGAGATGATGAAGAGTAGGAACGATCAATTCAGGAGAAGCCTGGCAGAGAAAAGACAAAAAACTTGCCTTCTGAGCTCTGCACACGCCGCTTGCCTGACACGATTCTCCTATTGACACAGCGCCTTTGCCAGGGAGCACTGAATCCTCAGTGAGTCGCCGATTTTGCAACAATACGGGATGAAAGGTTGAGCGTCCACTCACCACGTTGTAGACACCTTCCTCGAACTTCCCCAAGAAGCCCGCAATCCACTTGTCCGCATTCTCCACCCACTCAACGACCGTGCCGACCTGCAAAAAGACGACAAGCGTCGTTATGGTATGGCAACCAATATCGGCCTAGCGTTCAGAAGAGTACTCAGGCATCCTGAGGAGCAACAGGGAGTGTTGGGCATCGGGAAAAACAATCTGACATCTAACACCACAGCAAGAGCGCCTGCATCTGACAGTGCGGCAGATTCACCAACGGTTGTAGCCGTTTTTGACGACTAAGGTCCACTTATGCAGTCCGTTCGTGGAACCAAGGAGTACAGCTGAGGCCTTAATGCTCACATTGTCAGTCATCTCCTTGACGTTCTTCTTGAAGTACTCCTGGTTCTTCTCAAGGCGCTCGCGCACCGTCTTCTCCACCTTCTGCTGCTGCTGCTTCACCTTCTCGCGCAGCTTGGCCACGCCCATGTTCACACGCAGCTGCTTCTCCTGCAAATAACACCCCGGGAGTGTGAAGGAAGACGTCGAAAATAGGTGCCAGTACTGTCTTCGGTTACCTCAGGCATGCAAAGGCCCGAGTTCCAGTTGGAACCAGGCACAGATCGACACCGCTACCAGAGCTGAACCCAACGGATAACCCAACGACGATGGGTTCCAGCGGTCTGTCCACTTACTGACCTTTGTCCCGCTTGTGAGGGTCGCCGAATGGGCAACTGGTCACACGGTGCGCCACATGCGACCAGCGGTTGGGGAAGCGAGTAAGGCCCAGACGCCAACAGTTGAATGTCAACAACCTCGTACATGTTTTCCGCAAGCTACTTCCCAAGGTTGTCGTTAGCTGCAGTACGGATTAAGGAAAGCCATGATGGAGTTTGCTTGCTCACCTTGACATAGCTGACCCCCATCTCCTTGCGTGAGTAGCCGCGGTTGAGGTTGCGCATGATGTACTGATTGTAGTCCTTGAGAATCTTCATGATGATGTCTGTTGTGGAGATGCCTTCGGTTCGCTTTGTCTCTGCAAACTTCCCCACCGACTTGACCCACCCATACACATCGTCGGCGCTCCCGCTTGCGTCAGCATAACTGCAAGCAGAATATCAAATAATCCATGAATTGCTGAGACTGATCCAGTATTTATTAACGTGGGGCTTTCATTTACTGTATCAACACCTCAATTTCCACTAGCGGACTTCAAAGTCACAAAACATAAAGAAAGAAGACCCTGTCAATGTGCGCAGCAAATTGCGCAGAACTTGTTGAGCGGCGCAAAGCTAATACAGTTAAAAAAAAAAACTGTGCCCTACACATCAGGCCCCATGAGGGCCATCAGGACAGGGCAAAGTTCAGCAAGGAATGCACATGCAAGCACAGAAGGAGGGAAATGCTTGAACAATTGACCTCACAAAGGCTTCCGAAGGCTATGTCGGGGAGAAGAGCTTACGGAAGGGCGTCGTGAGCAACGTAGTCAATGTCGTGCTTTTCAATGAAGTCTTTTGTCACCACCCATGGTGCATCTTTGACCACCTCATCAACCCATCTGAAAACAGAAGGGAAGCAAGTGAGCAAGCGACACAGGGTAGTCCACCGGCTGAGTAGGCAGTGAATAATGCATTTTGGTGCTCAAGCTGGAACTAAATAGCCAAGAAGGGGAATGCACCAGAAAAGCAACTGGGCACAACACTACAAGATCGACAACTTTGTGTCAGAGCTGGGGTTTTTGTGACTTTGGGGGAGTCTCCGACCACGTTAGAGCACTTCCTATGAAGAATTCAAATATCCAAGAATCCAAGGGCGAAGTGGCGAAGTACTCACTTGCAGTGTCGCAGTGACTCGTATCTTTCCTCTTCTGTAAATACGGTTTTGCCCTTGTACTTGTGGGTCAGCTCGTCATTGCAGCAACCGACCAGGAGGTACACATTTGGGAAGCTGGAAAACAAGACACAGAGAATGCCACTGATTGATTGGACCTCAAAAGTCTGTCGTAGGGAGGACAGCCCTGCCTTGGCTGCTGGACACTCTCTTAGATCCCAGCCTGTGGGAGAATGAAGTGCCTTGAGGCCAATCGCACGTCCAGATTGCTCTAGACCCATGCAAATCAGCACGCAGGCTCAGGCAGCAAACTGGCCAAGCAATCTGCATGCAAAGGACAACTTGTACTTAACATCAGCAAGGTGCTCACCAAGTGGAGCAATCCACAATTGTTAACCAATGCAAGCAATTTTTTGCATGATTGCATAACCAGCACAGGCAACTCACAGCTTCTTGGCTTGCTCCAAAGCCCTGGCGTGACCAAAGTGAAACAAATCGTAGATGCCATCTGCATACACCCGAACAGGTCGATCGCAGTGGAAAGGGTTCTGGCCATCTGCTAGAGGAGATACGGCTGACGCAGGCCCCACGCAGCCATCGGCCTCAGAAGCTACGAGCTTTCTGCAAGCACCATTATCCTCTTCAGGACTCTCCTCATCAGTCGCGTCTTGGAATTCCTCCCTGTCTTCTGCCTCGTCGTTGCTACGTTGATTGCTGAGAATTGCTTCATTGCCTGTATCGACAAGGTTTTCATCTACAGCGGCGGGTGCCTTTCTCTTTCCCCTCCGAGCCATGTCAAGAGAGTGCCCAGAATTGCCAGGCGGATTTCCCCTCCGAACAGCGACCATGTGCCTCCTTTCAAGCAGCAAGGATGGCGCCCTGAAACACCAGAAGACTGACCCAATGAACACTGTTGACACTCCGCGCTTGCAGTTGGCCGCGCCTCAGGCTCATGCAGGCAGCCTTGGAAGTCACGCAGGGTGCATTCCCCTTCCTGGAAGCCAGTAGAGAGAACCTGTAATGGCGTCACGACTTAGGTAGCCCCACTGGGCGCAGGCTTGGGCCGGCGCTTCCCGTAGTCCCTAATCCCCGGATCGCCAAAACCCGGAATCTTGAAAATCCCGGATTGCACAATGCTCGTCGACAAAATCGCGCACCGCGGGGGGGACGATACGTGCGTCGCCGCAGGTCGGGCTGGCGGTAGCCGCTACGGTGGCGGGCTCGGCCCGGGTATCCTCACTTTATGCATTTTCCCGGCATTTAACCCTATTAAATCTGCGCGGTCCTAGAACCCCCATTACCAGAGCCGAACTAGCATGGAGTTCAGCGCGGCGCTCTGGGTCTGCCACCAGTGCGTTCATGGTTAGGCTACTCTACTGCTCTTCTTAAAGAGATGTTATTGAAAGTCAATGCTCGGTTGGTCTCACCTGTTCATACTCTCGCAAGCTATTTCCGGCTCATACATTCTTCTTGTGTGGTTAGTCGCCAGGCCCCGTACATGAGATCTCCGAATTTGGGTTGAGCTAGCGTGGACCTGGGGTTATTGCAAGCTATCAAATAGCGTAGAAGCGCTGGATAGAGAAGATGAGGCCCTTCAGATCCGGACTGCATTAAAGATGGAGCTTTTGTAGCTATGGTTTTCCTCGGACGCTGAAGGATTTGGCTCATTACATTCATTTGACCTTTCAGTGAAACCTTTGATTTTCAGAAGGCTGCCTGCATGCCGCTAGTCAACAGCGCTAGCAGGAAGTGCGGTTGTGCTTTCAGCAGGCTTTAAGCCTGCTATGCAGCTAGCTCTAACAATATTGTGAACTTACTAGCTCATACTTCTTTGCAGTACGCACAACAATCGCCTGGCCGCTTTCAAAAGAGAGACCGGTGGTCGGTATTCTGGCTGGCAAATGCCTCGTGGAGAAAAGGCCATTCTCCAGCTCCAGGTGCTTCAATTTTTGTGCCAATGCCTCTTTTGGAAGATTGCTCTGTTCATAGCACTAATTTTATGTCCACCAAGAATGTCTTTCCGCATAGCCTAAGGTCACTGCAGCCCGCTCTAGGATGTGGGGAATACTGCCGTGCGTCGGTGTCCTGCTGAACAGTGGTTCTTTTGATCAGGAATTTTAACTTACCATCTATTGTCTGGGAGGAAGTTCTCCAGATCTGCTCTCATGGGGGTTCTGGGATCATACAAGTGCAGGCTTCCAACTTTAGGGTTAGGAAGGGTGGAGTTGGTTCTTTTCTTCGGAAATTTCTCCTGGTTCTCCTGATTCTCCTGGTTCTTTTCTTCGGAAATTTCATCTAACCATCTATTGTCTTATGCTTGTCTTATGCAATCGGAGAAAGTTCCACTCAAGATCAGGTTTGATTGGGGGATCATATAAGTGCACGCTTCCAACATTGAGGGTTTTAGAACGCGGGATGTTTCTTCTTGAGGCTTACCTACGCCTGGTTCTTTGGCCCTCAACCTTTGTTTAGGTTCTTGCTCGGAAGCGTTGTCGAAACTTAAAGCTCAATCTGCTTCAGCAAATGTCTTTGTGCGCTAGCGCATCAACACGGTTACGTTTTAAACCCTCAATGCTTTGAGCATTCGAAGGGAGCACACAATCAGGAATCCTAGGTACTTCTCTGCTTTGCTGGACGGGCGATACTCAAACATGCTCATGCTCAGTACTCGATAGATCATCAAACGCGTCTTCGTACAGAGAGTCCTCTCAACTTGCCAATGTACCTCCTCACATCCCTTCTTCGGGAACCTTGCAAGTCCATGTGCTTTAAGCCATTTCTCACTCAAGTTTTCTTTTGCAGACGGCGTACCCTAACCTCGTGCAGCTTCACGAGACGGTCACAATTCCAGAACTCAACAGCCCGGATTTACAAAAGCGCTTGGCCACTGGAGCGGCGCACTTTGTCAGATGCCCTCTTCTGACCCCTGTCGAGCAAGTCCAACTCCTACGCGCAACATATTCCGTTTTCTCATCAACCTCTTTCTCCGCAAAGAGAAAATTGGGGGTTGCCAACAAGATGGAAGCGGAAGATGGGGTTGTCACCCAGGTTCGTGGGGTCAAGAGCGCCGAGTTTGCCCTGTACCCATACATAGACGATCCATGCCAAGATCTTGGTGGCATGGGGGTTCGTGAGCAGCACGAAAGGCCTAAAGACGGGCAGACTTTTGCGGAGGTCTTCAAGAGGCACGGTCTAACCAGAAAGGGCCTGATTGACGTCGAGCCGGAAGACCCAATGAACAAGAACAGAACGTCCTTTGCAACCGTCATACAAGATTTGCTACACAAAAAAGGTGAGCCTGAGAATATGACTTTGCAAGCTCTCTTTCACTGCTAGTGGGCTACCAACTTCATGCTCTTCTTCATCTCCTCTTTTTTTTTAGGACAAACTCGTAAGGCAGGAGTCTACATAAGAACACACTCATTGGCCGTACAATCAGCCTCACTCGTCATCTATTCGACCCTCGCACGCTCTCTCTTCAATATGTCTTGGTCACTTTCTCCTCGTAAGGTTTGTTAAGGAAATTTTGCATCTTGTTTAAAGCTGCTCGTTTTTCTAGTTTAGCACGCCTCTTCCGGCCTTGGATCGATCGGAGCTTGGAAAATGTAAGTAACTCAACATTTCGCACATCGTTCAACTGACCCCAAGTGTGAAGTACCATACTATTGAAACAAGCACTATAACGGATTCATTTTGGCAGCACGAAGTACAAGACTTGTCCTTCCGACCTTTCGCAGGCGTGCAATGGTCTCCGGACGACGACTTTTTGTCTGGCCCCAAAGTCCCCCCCGGCGTGTCTCCACACAAGGTCACAGGATACGTCAAGCAAGACGGCCACTTCACCTTGGACCATGCCGAGTGGATTGGTGCGGTTGCCGCCAACCTTCTTGGGCTGCTCTTCCCTCACCTTACTGCTGGCTACGTCACCAACTCCCTCTCTGGCCTCGGCCTCAAAACCGACGAAGAAGTAAGCCTCTTGATTTCTGGCCATGATAAATGTGGCCATGATCAATGTGGCAATGACTGATGTTGCCCTCGGATAGATCTATGCTTTCATTAGGCCCGCTGGCGCCAAATCTGATGGGGCAGAAAGCTCCTTCACCTCTCGCTTAAATTCTTTTACTACATCAATCTCAAACCAGGTTGCCTTCGGTCTGCGTCCATGTTGCGATCATAACATTGGTACATCAAGCTTGCACCCCCTTCAATCAACCTTTTAGGTCCACTTTGAATTGGATATCCCTGACTTTGGAAACGCCACGTACAACCCTTGGTTCATTTTTTAGATATGGTTTGTGCAAATGTTGCCGCTGACCGTGCAATCGTGGATTCTGTCGACGAGTTCTTTGTCGCGCTTGTTCGCAAACTTGCAAGGCCTACCTTCACGGAGGCCTAATTTCGAAGCAATCATTCAATGCATTTCCCTATGCAGGTTCTCCAGATCTTGCGCGCGGAAGACAAACGTGCAGCTCAGGCCAAGGGGAAGAAGACCCTTAGAGATGAGGAGTATGATGCCCTATACGAGGAGTTTGGGGCCCTCTGGTGGGCCCCGGACCTCACTACCTACGAAGCTGCGAGAAGGCTCGAGGAAGTTCTCGAGCTGTGTTTCGGGGGCCTCTTTACTGAGGCATGCACGCAACGGTGGTTGGACGAGACTGTCCCGGCTGACGTCCAAGAGCGTCTCAAGTCGTGGACTCCACTACGGAGGTTTTGCTTCGTGAGGGACGGCTCGGTGACCCTGCCGCCCCAGTTCTACCTGGACCATGGAATCAAAATCCACATCATGTGAGTCTCATGCTCTCTAGTCACTTCTAAGAAGTTCCGCCTCAAAACATGCAAGGGTTGAGAAGTTTAAAGGTTCCAGCTCCCGCCCTCGTTCTATGGTGCACAGAGCTTTCAGAACACATTGTTTGCTCCTCAATGGTGGATCCCCCTAAAGTCCGAAGGGCTTTTGTTCCCATTCTTCAAACTTCCTTTAATGCGGATTAGTTGCGGGGAGAGCTTTGCTTTCACGACTCCAGCTAAATGCCTAGAAATTCTTTCTATCTTTCCGCACTGCTATGTGTGTCCAGCCCCGCGCCTCTCTCATCACGTTGTTTATAGATGCTCCGGCTTCAGAGGCTCAAGTTTCAAATGTTCCGGAAACCCTCTATTTATTTTATTTTTTCTCTCTCAATGCTTCTGCTCCAACTTGCGACGTGAGAGGGTATTTGAGAAGAAACGTCTGGACAGCAAAAGGCTCTCTATTTTGACACGTGATGCAACGCGGCTCACGTGTTTATGGGCTTAAACAAAGGCCTTAGTGGCAACTTCGGGTCAGAGGCTGAAAG